AGATACCAAAAGAAAAGAATGTCCACACCTTTATCTCAGCGGTTCTGCCAGGCGTCTGTGGCCACCCGATCCTTCCCTCATGTGGTCTCACCCAAGATGGCGGCTCTTGGAGCAGCCGAGCGTCCTGGGCTAGAAAGCAATAGATTTCTTGCTTCTGCCACAAATTCCCCCAGCTGTGAGCCTTCCAACCTTCTAAGTATTCCTTTATACATAGTTCAGAGATCTGGGACCAACCCCTGAGCCTGCTTAGTCGGGTATTTTGTGTTATTGTTGGCAGAGCTCTTTGCTACACGTCTATCTGATCCACCATCTTTTTTGTTCTCCTAAAAGTTCATACTTTTAAGGGGCTGACAAGGTCTGACAGCATCAAATTCTTACCCACTTTTCCAAGTTTATCTCTTACTATCCCATTCAACAGATCCATACTTTAACCACACTAAACTCCTTTAGTTGTTCAAACTCCCTTTTTGCTATGTCTCATGTCTTATATCTTTCAGATATCAGCAGCTAGAGACAGCACTTTATCTTAGAACTATCATGTCCAGTTGTACTCTGAAGTCTCTCTAGGTGTCTAAACTTGAGTGACCAAGTCCACCTGTGTTCCCTCACAACACCTGAGCTTCTTGATATTGGCACTTCCCCACTGTATGTGCTCACATTAAAAAGTGCTTCATTGATTTTCAGTCCCCACCCTGCTGTGAAATCCATGATGGCAGGACCTGTTCTAGCTTGGTCAGTGTTGTATTTCCAGAACCTGACCAAAGTATATTTAATGAATACAACAGGAGAAAATGTTCAAAGTACCTTCCTTTTATGATACTTTTGTACTAATGATAGGTCTTTAACTTTTCTGCAGGCTGATAAGTTGTTAAAAGCCTTGAAAGCACACCTTCAACAGGAAGCAAAAAAAGAAAATGAGAAACAGGTGAGTAACTTTTTCATCTCTCTTTCTCTCTATCTCTCTCTCTCTCTCTCTCTCTCTCACTCTCTCTTTCTCCCCCCACCCCCCATTAAATATAGCAAAACAAGCATAGTTAGTTGTTGAGTGATAAACACAATTGGTAATTACCTAAGACATGCTATTTATTTACCAAAGAGATCATTTATAGTAATAGTGCCAGGGTCAGATAATGATGATGATAATACTAATGATATATTTTGAATGGCAAAATTACCTGTGCCAAGTAATCTGTTGACTAAGATGTTGTTCTACAAATGCAAACTATTAGTTGCCAAATTTTATAAGTGATAAGATGGTATGAGTAGGGAAAGAACTGGATTTTGAAGTGAGAAAGACTCAGGTTAGCTAACAGCCCTGTTTGAAAACTCAAACTACTGGATTCTCTGATTTATCTTCTTTAAAATGAAAATGAAGTCTACTCTGTTGACCATCAGTGTTGTGAGAGTCAAATGGAATAAGGATTCTGTATTGGGCCTCTCTTCCCCCAACAAAAAGAATTAATGCTGAATTTCAGCTTAAAGTTTTTTATATCAACTGTGCAATCGTAGTGTGGCACTGCAGGATAATGCACTGGACCACTAGGTTGGTTTGAACCTCAAGATCAGCCTTTCAAAACCACCAGCTGCTCCTTAGAAACCCTATACAGTATTGCGATGAGTTGGATCCAACTTGACACTTAACAGAAAGAACATATCAACTGCATCATTACCCTTCTTTTTTTGTTGTTATAAAGATATATATAACACATTTCCCAATGCAGTGTTTTTCATGTATACAGTCTAGTGACAGCAATCACATTAATCATGTTGTGTATCAATCTAAGCTCACTATCAACAGATTTGCCACAGACACCTGTATCCGACTGAAATTTTTTAAAAAAACTGTGGTAAAATTTCTGCCATTTTAATTAATTTTAAGTCCACAATTTAGTAATGTTAATTACATGTACTATGTTGTGCAACTATCATCACTATCTATTTTCGAAAGCTTTTGCATCACTCCAAACAGAAACACAAGTGCCCCTCCCTTAAGCAATAAGTCTCATCAATTTTAATTGCCATCCTGCTCCTATGAAATTTTTTCAAAAGGGAATGGCCCCTGAAATACTGAATTTGAGACATTTTAAATTTAATCTAGCAATCACTATCCCAAACTGAAATGACTTGACAAAACTACAGTGGAATCATTTGTCCTTGATTGATGAAAGCCCTGACATAAAAACTCTGATTTTTTTCTGGGAGTTGACTAAGGCTATGGAAGCAAGTCAGCACAGCATAACAAGGAGATAGTTCCCAAGTATAAACTTCCTAAAGCATCCCCTCGGCAATCAGTGCACAGCTGTGGATTTCATTTGAGTGGATGAAGATGACAGAAGACCTTCTGTAAGCCTCATTTTCCAACTGTAGATGGAGCCTTAAATGCATGAGTTGGTCTGACTGTGCAGCAGGATGTGTTTTATCTGAAGCAGGCTTTAGACAAGTATGTTATAGGTGTCGGGGACTATCCTCGACATAGTAACTTGGTTCACGAGTGTTTGGTTCATGAGGAGGCGATATCCGGCAGCGATAGGAATAGCGAAAGAATACACAGACAGACAGAAGGAAGGAGACAAAGAGACACCCCAAAGCCAGGGTGGATACATCACTGGTGGGCAGACCTGGGAGTACAGGCATCGTGGCCTCTGCAGGCAGCAACTCACTGCCCTGCAATCTTTACTGCATGCCCTCCAACCCTTAATGCACACCTGGGCCCACCTGGGCCTCTGTTTTCTTTAGGGGAGGAGCTTCACACCAAGCTGGGAGGGACTAAGACAAGATACAGCTAACATCAGTAATTTTCCAGACATTCAGGTAACTATACATAGAGCTTCACTGGTTCGAATCCCAGGCTGCAACTTGGTTTCTCAGGCTCAATTAACATATCTATAGCCCCTGAACTCAGTTGGGGCAAGGTGAAAGGGAAGGACAAAAGGCTTGGGCGGAGTCCTGCTGTTTTGGCTTCCTGAGCCAGGTTTTCAGGAACTTGGCTGAAAAGCTAATACTTGGGACAGATTTAGGGAAGATGGCTTTTTTGTCTGTAGAACAAAGAACTGGGAAGTAGCTAAACTATTTTCAGTTAATCTTTTGGAGAAAGGCTTGACCTTGCAACCTTTACAGTCTGGGCTTTTAGGAAAATATCACATTTATCTGTGAACATTAAGGGCTCATTTGGAATTCATAAATATAACTGAACACTAAGATGAAAAACAATTTGCTATTTACTGCCAAGTGGCCAGAATTTTTTCCTCAGAGCCTGTAACCTGTAACACTCGGGCCTATAGGGCCTCGAACTTCTGACCAGGCTTACTCGGTCTGCAACATATAGGGTACCTCATAGTATATTCAGGAATGAACACAGTGCTCCCTGACCACTCTGAGCCTCTCTGATTGACATAATACTTTGATTACAGTGCATGGGCTGAATTGATTTCCTACCTGAGAACTTACACACTTGAACTATAGAAACTACAAGGGGAGAATTTCGAGACACACAAGGATTTGAAAACTTATACCTACAAACTTTCTTAGTATAGAAATTCTGTGTCAGCAAAATGAAAAAAAAAAAAAACAAGAAAGAAAAAGGCATGGCCTCAGTAGAAAAATGAAGGGATGTCCAATGAAGATAGCTGTGTAACTGATCTTGGAGAGCAACCAGTCAGCACTCAAAAGAGAAAACAGACCTCCAGAAGGGAAAAAAGTCCGGCTGGGCAAAAGGAGGATTTAGGAGACTAGATTCTATCCTCTGAAAAGCAATAAAGGCTGGTAATTTGTTTGTTGATCATAGAGGTATGCTACTTAGATGTCCCTTTAGAAAGCACCTACTGAACAGAGGTAATGGAAGCAAATACTGTTGAATGATGATACATGGAGGAGATTGTAATCACTGCAATGAAACGATAGTATAAAGCCGATGATCTCTCATGTAAACTATCACTCAGTTCACAATTAGGAAAAAGAACCTACTGAGAAGATCATAAGACCAAGGCCAAACTTCCCTGAGCTATTTCAGCTAGTGACTTGACTCAGCATGGGTACTGCAGCTGGGCCATTTCTATCCAATGCTCAACCCTTTAATGAACAACTTTTCATCAAAGACTCCATTTTGATCTGGCCACACTATCTCAGAGTTTGTAATCTGAGGCTCTTCCTACTCAGTCCTTGCTTCCCTCTTTCATCTCACAGGTATCAAACCTGCAAAGTAGTCTAAAGACTCTGGTCATGGCTGGCCAGCAGTATGGCAAGACCTGGGGACTCCGGGGCCCAGAGTCAGTGACATAGCCACAGAGGACAAGAGTAGAGAGTGAAGCATCCAGCTGATAAGAAGTGAGGGTATATGCACAAGAACACCCACACTTGCAGATAATAGCTACTTGACCTGATTTCAATGGCTGGATGGTCAGAACTCAACTAGAAGAAGAAAAAAATGAGTAATCTGATACAACTTGATGAACTTGACCTACACCTATAGATGCAGTAGCTCAAAAGAGCGAACAAATCTTTATAGCAAGGATCATTCCCACCCCGTTGGTACACAATATAGACAGGAATGGGCAACTTGGACATTGGCTATCCAAAATGGGTGGGCTACAAAGGCAAGAAGTGACTTGACTGGCTTACAAACTTTAAAGAGGGAGCCTAGATCCAGAGGGTACAGAGTAGTATCCAATCTGTCTGGGCGGGGCTGATGAAATTCAGGTAGGTCTCTTGTGGTATAATAGTGAAATATTGTTATCAGGACTGACTGTGAGGGTTGGAAATGTAAAGGTAGACATTTTGTAGCAAATGAATTGAGTGGTTGACTTTGCAATACAGGAACGGAGGTCCTTGGGTCCATCAAGGGAGAAGAGCAGAGTACGGGACCCTAGCCAGAGATGGAGTGGCTGGGGACTCTAGACCCAAAGAGGGAGAGGGGCTGTGTGCTGACAACTGAGGGACAGGCTTGCAGGGTATACCCTTTGGTTGTTTGATGATGCATGGAGGGCGTTGTAATCATGGCAATGAAATGATATATGATAGGATGAATGTAAAGCTAATCTTCTCCCATGTAAACTATCACATAATTCACAATAAAAAAACACTTTAAAAAAAAAAAAAAAAAGGTCATCTTCTCTCTGGTCCCTACCCATTTATCTTCACAGGCATTTCCTTCAATTAATCTCTTGCAGCAAGTTTAATCCCATCTTGGAATCTGTTTCTTAGAAGACTTTCACTGAACAATATGGAAAAAGAAAAGGCAATTAGAAACTAGGAAAAAAATGTTCTTACATGTCATTGAGTCGAATCCAACTCACAGTGATCTGTGTAGGGTTTCCGAGGAGCAACTGTGGGTTTGAACCACCAACCTTGTAATTCAAACTGACCTCGTGGTCCAGTGCTTATCCTACAGCTCCACATCATGAAAAATTAGTCTTAGAAAAAAGGAAATTTTATCAAGCTTGTATTATTTGTCCATAGAAAATGTGTATATGCATGTGTGTGTGTGTGTGTGTGTGTATGTATATACATATATATACACACACACACACACATAACAACTAAATGATTTATCGACTTTTAAGGTCAAGCTACATGGCGCTGTGGGTTAATGTGCTGGACTGCAAAGTCAGTTTGAACCACAAGGTTGGCAGTTCAAATTCACCAGCTGCTCCTAGGAAACCCTATTCAGGGTTGCTATGAGTCAGAACTGACTTGACAGCACTTAACAACAACAACAAAGATCACGATATCTTGATTAAAGATACATAATAGACTCGTGGTTGTTGTGTGCCATCGAGTCAGTTCCGACCCATAGTGACCCTATAGAGGGGGGTTCCAAGGCTGTTAATCTTCACTGGAGCAGAAAACCTGCGGAGCGCCTGGTGGACTCAAACTGCTGACCTTGCAGTTTGACCCATTACATCGCCAAGGCTCCTATGTTGTTGTTGTTAAGTGCTGTTGAGTCGGTTCCAACCCATAGTGACCCTGTATAGGGTTTCCAAGGAGCAGCTGATGAGCTTGAACTGCTGACCTTGCAGTTCAAACAGCTTTGCAGTCTGGTGCATTAACCCACAGCACCACACCAGGACTCCAAGGCTCCTCCTATGTTGGTGGTTATGTGCCGTGCAGTCAGTTCCGACTCATAGCGACCCTGTACAGGGTTTCCGAGGCTGTAAATCGTTACAGAAGCAGAAAGCTTCAACCTTCTTCTGTGGAACAGATGGTAGTTTCGAACTGCTGACCTTGAGGTTCGCAGCCCGATTTGTAACCACTACGCTACCAAGGCTCCTATAATAGACTATAATTGTCATCAATTTTGATACTTTAAGACAGGTATGAGAAATAAAAGGAGAACAGGTGAAAGGAAGTATAAGAATGTTGATATTCTCAATTTAAAGAATATATTGCATAGTGCGACAAAATCTAAAGGTGTAAGTAAGTACATTTTAAAGTAACAGTGTGACTTAAGTGATAGAACTCTAGTAAGAATAAGATGGAGATATGAGAATGGTACAAATGAGCTAAATTTTAGAATATTGTTAGTCAGTTCTAACTCATAGGAACCTTGTATTGGTTTTCAAGGAGTGGCTGGTGAGCTTGAGCTGCGAATCTTACTTTTTAAATTGACCTCGCAGTCCAGTGCATTAACCCTCGGTGCCACATCAGGCCATTGAAAATAAGAATGAATCATTAGAAAATCATTAGTGATAGGTAATTGAGCCACCTGCAATTAAGCCTTAGAAATAGGAAGGATGATACAGAGAACCAATTAATTGCTTTTTAATATAATCTCATTAATATTTTTTTTAAACTGTGTACATTACTTGTTTCCAAAAATTGTACTTATTAAAAGAAAACAAAGTACTGAAAACAAAGTCAGCTTTTCCTTTATAGTTTTTAGGTAAGATGACATGCTTTAAAAAAGACCTTTCTCACATTTAAGATAAGATTGTCACCTTTTTTTTCTAGTGTTTTTATAGTTTCACTTTTTTTTTTTTTTTTTTTTAAGGTTTTTATTGTGGATTGAGTGAAAGTTTACAGGGCATATCATCCGTTTTACATTCAACAAAACATATATCTTGTTTCATTACAATGATTATACTCCATTCCGTGTACCATCAGTTAACAGTATTTCTTTCTATCTACTTTAGCTTTTTAAAAAACAAACAAACAAACAAAAAACCACTCAGGCATATATAATAATTTACATTTCCAAAGGGCACATTCTGCAAGTCTGCTCCTGGCCACCAGCTCTTAGTCCCTCTCTTCTTACTTAGTCCATGAATCTATAGAGTCCTCTCCATGCCCCCATCTTCTGTCTCCATCTCTGGCGCTCCTGCTTCTCTGGATAAGGTCCCACATTCTGCTTGTGCTCTTCTTGCTTGATGGTCCTAGGGTCCTCTGTTTCTGGACTGTAAGAATAACCACTCCCCTTTTTGTGTTACAAAACTTCTACCTTTATAATTGTGACAGTCACGATTAGTCATGATAACAGTTATTCACTATTGAGTCTTACAAATCTTATCCCCATCTCTTTTCACCAGATCCATGTAGACAAAATGACAGCTATTCATCTTGTCTTCTGGTTTTTGGGCATATTCAGGGATTATCTGTGGGCTTAATACTTAGATGGGTATATTTTGGTACTTCTTATGCTTTCTGATTGCCTCTAGGTAGATGTGATCAGGAAATGGGCTTCCCTTTTCACTTATCTTAAGAAATTTAAAGATGCCACTGTTAGTTGCTGTGACATAATTTAGGATTTAATTTTAAGCCTATTTCCTTTTTTGTCTGCTTGTCCTGCTCCACAATCCCCGTTCAGGCCTTTTTTCTAGTTGGAAACAGTTCAGGGCCAGCTGTGGCCCTTTGGTTTTAAGTGGAAACTGTTTCTTTAATTTCGAAGAGATCTGTGCGCATTTGTAGTAGAACCCTCCGAGGTTGGGGCTGGGGTGTCCACTAGCTCAGGCACCCCTATAGTCACCAGAATGGAGGTACACAAACAGCAAGGGACCAACGAACAGATACCAAAAGAAAAGAATGTCTGCAGCTCTGTCAGGCATCCATGGCCACTCGATCCTTCCCCTACTTGGCCCCATACAAGATGGCAGCTCCTGGAGCAGCTGAGCGTCCTGAACCAGAAAGCAATGGATTTCTTGCTTCCACCACAAACTCCCCCAGCTGTAAGCATTCCAACCTTCTAAATATTCCTTTATGTGTGGTTCAGAGTTCTGGGACCATTCCCTGAGCCTGCTTGGTCCTTCCTGTATTCTGTGTTGTTGCTGGTGGAGCTCCTCAATGCACTTCCACCCAATCTGCCATCTTGTTTGTTGGCTCTGGTTTCACTTTTAAGTATTGAATTCATCTAGAGTTCATTGTGGTGTCAGAGAATAATCAAATGTCATTTTCATCCACCAAAAATAACAAAGCATAATACTTGTTCCAGCATCATGTGTTAAATATTGAATCCAGCCTTCTCCAATAGTATGAGTTGCAGTCATTACAGTAATTACTTATTAAGCAGGTCAGTTAGGTATATTCTGGACTTACACCACATTGTTGTGATGTTGTAGCTTTTTACATTTAGTTCCATTCTCACATTGCTGTCTTATTTTGACGTTTAGCAAGTTATTTTGTACTTCCAATGCCTGTTTCCCTTTTATGAGTTGGTGAATTTCAATGTTTGCTTCATAGGCTTTGAGATATAAATGAGATAATTGATGTAAATACTTAGCCCAATAAAGGTGTAATATTAGCTCTAATTACTACTAGTTTATAGCTTAGCACTTGGCACAGTGTATATTAAATACATTAATATACTTTTAATAATTTGCTTATGTGATCACACTAAAATAACTTTAAATTCCTATTTTCATAGATCAGGTTATTAAATATGATTGTTTCTTTTCAATATTCTAGAATTCTTGTCCTTGTCTAGGATTTAGTACTAGAGTTTTAAAATTATCCTTTTATATGTGTAGTATATTTTTTATTCAATTTAAATTTTTATTCTTCTTGAGCACTAAAATACTACACAATCAAAAGGACAACATTTACCCAAAGACAAAGTTGAGAAGGGATGGATAGGTGTGTGGAATGGAAATACGAACCCTAGAGAGAAAGCAGGATAATTGTTGTTGCATGGAGGGTCTTGCAGTTACTGAGATGAAACAAAGTATGTGCTTTGTGGAATGTAAAACTGATGATCTTCTCTGTAAACCATCACTCAATTCACAGTTTTAAAAAAAACTATACAGAGGCTGTTGTCGATTACTGTCTCTCTTTACAGACTGAAAGTCAAACTTCTTCCTCTTGTGATGAGAGTGAGATACAAAATAGAGATCAGGAACAATCGGAGAGGAAAACAGTCAGCCACACCAAAACACGGAGAAGGCGCATGACAATTGAAGGAAACCCTAATTCCCAGGTAAACAGAAGTACACAAATGAAAATAGGCCACCACATGAGTCAAACTGGTATGTTCTTAGGAGGTTTTCTTTTTTAATTCTCTTATGATACCAAGTAATAGTAAACAAGATTTGTGTATTAATACAATTGTTCTGAAGGACTACTGTCTCTTTATAAAAGTCTTCATGGCCATCAGTGTAATTCTTCATATAGATCAGTGACTACTTATCTCTGTAGACAGAAGTTTGCAGATGATTTCATGATTCATAAACTTCACTGTAAGAACCTCTGAGGTTGATTCTTTAGAAATAAAAGCAATATACTGTCTTCTTCCCTCCTTCGCTCCCCACTCCCATGAAAAAACAAAAATAAACGTATAGAAAAGAATTCCTAATAATTAGCTAAATGTTTAAAAAATAAGAAAAGTGTCTGTAAAGTTGCTAGTTGCAGTATCAGTAAACTGTGTGTACTGGGTTTGTCAGATACAGTTGGTGTGTGGGGTGAGTCCTGTAGTATGCAGGAGGCCGCACTTCTGACTTAGCTCCTAACCCTAGGTCTGGTGGTGGTAGGCATGGTTCTGGACCTCGTGGTTCTGAGTCCACCAAGGGGTCTGTAGTGTGCAGCTCTCCCTTCTGTCTCCATATTGCAGTGCCCAAGGGAACAGAGCCATATGTCTCCCCGAGATGTGGGGCACTCCATGCACTGTGAGCTCCGCGAAAGCTCAGGTGATGCGTGTCTCTGTTGCTCATCATGGCAACTCCAGGGCCTGACACGTGTGACTCACTCGATAAATATTTGTTGAAAGTTCACTAAGTGTTCACTTACTTGAGGTGCCAAAAATAAAAAGGAAAAAGTTACCAAGGTTAAATGTGATTTTTTTTTTTTTTTTTTAATTTTAACTATGCTAAGTTGCCCCAGGCCTGGTGATCTGGTGATCACTTTGTATTCAGTCTTTCAGTAGAATGGTTATGGAATTAGCCAAGGACTTCCCTCATTTGTTTTGTATAAAATCAACTCTGATTTTATTCTTCTATTGTATCCTTTCATTCAAATGTTGCTTTTACATGGCAAGGTCCTAATTTTTTTCTCTAACTTTATATAGTAGTCACTATAGGCTATCCTGTTGTTTGTTATTTAATGCCATTGTGTGGGGCACCTGGTGGGTTTGAACCACCGATCTTGTGGTTATTAGTCCAGCGTTTACCCTTCATTGCTACACCAAGATTCCCTGTTAAGTGTTTTTGTGTCGATTCTGACTTACAGCAACACTATATAGGGTATCCAAGGAACAGCTGGTAAAGTTTGAACCACTGACCTTTTGGATAACAGTCTAGTGTTTATCCTACAGCACCACACTAGGACTCTCTAGTATCTCCTATTCCCAAATTTCACATTCTCATGACATTTGATGAGGCAGAGAGCAAAATCTAAAAAGTTTCATTTTCCTACTTATATACTTTCAGCCATTTTTCTCTCTGAATTGGTAATTTTGTGTAAATCATTTATTTCCCTTAAATTTTATACAGTGTCATTCAGAGTTGAAGATAAGTGATCCCACTGAATCCCAGAATCGGGAGCAGCAGGTAAACCAGGATTTCAAAGCTGCTGTAGAAGTTCCTTCTCAACCACATGAGAGCCAAGTTGATGAGAATTCTGTTTCCATGGGAAAAAGCAGATTAAATGGTATGTCATATAACTCTAAAAGACCAAGTTCAGCAAATTATACAATGTTAGAATCAAAAACAATAAACTTCAGTTAACTTTGTGCAGAAAACAGACTAATATTGTTAGCTGAAAAGTTTAGGGAAGTTGCTTTCTACTTGGTAAGAGCCAAGCCAACTAATTTTCTCTATCAGCCTATACTGACTGATTCCAGAGGCAATTTTTAAGAGTATAAAGAATTACTGAGGCTAGAAAGTATGAGAACTGCTAATCTAATCCTTAGACAATGGATTTTGTCAATGCCCTTTAAAGCAAAGAAAAATCTTAGATCATTATTTGCATTTCATTGTCTTATCTCTTTAGTCCACTTTAAATACGGAACAAGTTCCTCAGTTTGTCTTTCATCTTTCATGACTTGACATTTTGAAATATATTATTGCTGTCGGGCGCCTTCAGGTCGGTTCCAACCTTTAGTGAACCTGTATAGGGTTTTTGAGGCTATAAATCTTTACAAGAGCAGAACACCTCATCTTTCGCCCTCAGAACAGTTGGTGGATTGGAATTGTTGACCTTGAGGTTAGCAGCCCAAAGCTACCAGCATTCCAATTTGAGCATAGATCAGTTATTTTCTCCTATTGATTGTGTTGTTATTTTGTTGTTGTTATGTTTGTTTCTTCATCAATGAAATATTCAAATTAGATCACAAAAGTATTACTGTGTCCTGGTGCAATAAACCAGGAAACCCAGGTGTTGATTAGTCCCATTACTGGTGACGTTAATTAACTCCATCACTTGGCTGTGGGGCCGTCTGCCAATTCTATCCTCTGATTAGTTACTTTCCATTTGTAATAAATAAGTATCTTGTGAGGAATACTCTGACTTGAAGAGATCTTGCTTCTCAGAAGTGTTCCATCCCTCTTTGGCTTTAGTAAAAATATTGAAGCAAAAATCCCTGTAGTCCCTCAGATCTCTTGGAGCATCTGGTGCCTTGTTTTAGGGGTGCATTGGAGAACCGTACAGTTGACATTTTCTGAAAAAGTGTATTTCAAACTCGAAAAGATGAAGGAATTTAGAAAGTGATTGGGATAAATGGAGGGAAATGCCAAATCTTATGTTCACCAGGATTTCAGCTAGATTTTTTAAAAAGCAAAAGTAAAATACGCTTAAGAGCAAGGAACCAGAGGAAAAAAAGACCAAAAATGCTAATGGTGATTCAGAGGCTGGTGGATTGGTGTGATTTCATCATTTTGGCCTTAACAATGACATGATCCTTTTTTTTTTGAAAAAATTTTTTTCATTTTAATATTAGTGCTATATTTATATAACTTCTCTACAGAAAGCATATTCTTTACACCTGCTTGAAGTATGTGAACTACAATTATAGTGGTACTGTAATGTGCTTTTAGGACCATTTTTACCACCACCTCCATTTAGTCTCACATGAAAATGCCCTGACAGAAATATATCTTAATAAGATAATGTTATTTGAAACTTTTCATTAGTTCTGTGTCTGTGCATTTAGGTAATGAAGATTCAAAGATACCTTCAAAAAGACAGAGGTCTCTTTATACAAATGGTTTTCCAAAAGCTGGAAAAAATAAAAAATCTGGAAGCACTACTCCAAGTAAGTGTTGTACAAAAAGAAACCTAAAGTAATGGGCCTCAAGATTTGGTTTGGGGAATCTTGGCTGTCAGTTTTTAGCTCTGAGGCTACTAATCCTTTCTGAGAATGATTCTACTACCTATTTTATCAGGTTGATATGTGTAGATTAACTGAGGATATTGTTTTCTAACACTAATCATATAGAACTGCAGTTGGGACATAGCAGGGATTCAGTAAATATCTATTGAACGAATGTCTATAAAGTACTTGCCACACTGCTCACCTTGTGCTGAGTTTCTAGAGAATCTACGGGCTAGTGACATAAGATGGACAAGCATTACATGTATGCATGCAGCTGTGTACATGTAATGGTTCTCCATCTTGTGTCACTAGCCCATTGCTTGATGCCAAGATTAGGGGTTGAATGAATGATGTGTAATCTGTAGCTATTAAAATGCTGCTCAGCATATATTAGAAACTCAATGAATGTTTGTATACTAAATAAGAATAGCACAGAGCAAAGGGATGCAAACTACAGTCTTCCTTGGCTTGTTTTGTATAGCCTATTAAGGTATGAATGGGTTTTACTTTTGTAAACAGTTGTGGGGTTTTTTTAGTTTTTATTGTGAATTGAGTGATAGTTTACATGGGAAAACATCAGCTTTATATACATCCTATCATATTTCGTTTCATTGCAGTGATTACCATCCCCTCCATACATCACTATTCAACAGCATTTGGTTCCATTCCCTTTCTGGTTTTTTGAGGGGGGGAATGTACATCAAAGCACTCAGGAATACATAACCAAAGGGTGCACCCTGTAAGCTGCTGCTTACACCCCCCGAGTCATTGACTTTGTCTCCATCTCTGGTGTCACTGCTTCTCTGGATAGGGTTCCACACTCTGCTCTTCTCCCTTGATGGTCCCAGCGTCCTCTGCTCCTGGACTGCAAAGTCAACCACTCCTCTCCTTTTGTTACAAAATGTCTACCTTTACATTTATAAAACTCACAGTCAGTTCTGATAGCAATTATTCACTATTGAACCACAAGCTATGAATGGATTTTACATTTGTAAAGAGTTGTTAAAAAAAAAAAAGAATATGAAACAGAGCCCATATGTGGCTATAAGGCCTGAAAATCTTATCTTGTTCTTTACAGAAAAATTTTGGCAATCCCTGGCATAAATCTTTCTAAGTATTACAAAATAACAAAATTATGATAAACTAGCAAAGACCAGTTTATTTATTGGTGAAGGAGAAGAATAAATCTGCCATTCCTCTTTTTTTACTTTTTATTGTGAATTAAATGAAGGTTTACAGAGCAAATCATCAGTTTTGCGTTCAGCAAGTCATATTCTTCATTTTATCTCAATGATTGCAATCCCCTCCATTTTGTCCTTGGGTAAATGCTTCTCTTTGGGTCTTAAATTATTGACTATTGTATGGTGTGCATGCATCCTTAGTGTTGTTTCCTCCTTACATACCTGTCAGGGGAGCATGGTGGTTCTGTAGAATAAGCACTCGACTGCGAACCACAAAGTCCACAGTTCAAGTGCACTAGCTGCTCCACAGGAGAAAGATGAAGCCTTCTGTTCCCACAAAGATATACAGTTTCGATGATATATGAAAATTGAGCCAAGGGGGCCTGGGGAACTCCAGACTGAAGGTTATCTAAAGACCATAGTCTTAATTTCAACCTGTCTGACCAGTAAACCTGGTCTTTATGATTTTGAGTTTTGATTGCCATTTTTCCCATTCTATTCAGGACCTTCTAGTATGATTCCTTTCAGAGAAGTTGGTTATGGTAACAGGGCACCATCTAGTTCCTCTGGTCTCCGGGTCATAAATACTGACATTCATGTGTTCCATTAGTTCCTTGAAATGAGCAACTTCCAGTTTCATCATTCTTCTTTCCTCCAGACAATGAGAGACCAATAATTGGACCTTAGATGGCCACTTATGAGCTTTTAAGAGCCCAGTCACCGCTCATCAAAGTAGGATATGTAGAACATTGCTTTTGTGAACTATGTTATGTGCCACTCCTTTCTTATCTTTGGATGTAAACCAAGATGTCAGTTCACAGTGAAATGAACAATGGAGAGAGATGGTGGGTGTTTGATCTTCTTTGAGATATATCTAAGTGTTTTGAAATTAAAGTTTTAGTAAAGATGAGGTTGAAGTTGAATGTCAGAGATGCAGAGAAGAAAATAAGTATTAGCAGGGGGTAAAAAAAAGACAAGAAGGTGAGTAAATGGATTCTGACTTGTTATTAATTTGCATATTTTGGGTAATATTCTAGATTTTAAGAAGCTTCATGAGGCTCATTTCAAGGAACTAGAGTCCATCGATCAATATGTTGAGAGAAAAAGGAAACATTTTGAAGAGAACAACAATTCACTTAATGAATTGAAGGTATGTTAGGAGCTATGTTCTTAATGGGACTTAAGGATTCTATTTTAATAATGAATTGCATATACACTATTATTAATGTAATCAACTTGATGTTTTACCTGTGGAATGGATTTGTTTGGGTTTAACATAATCTTGAAATTGCTGTCCTCAACTCTGAGAATTTTTTAAACCGTCTAAATATAACTTAATCCTTAGAATGTAGAAATATTTTCAAAGTAGCGGTAAGTTGTCTGTTTTCCTCATTCAGACCCTTTGCCTACTACTGTTGAGGACAGGTTAATTTATAACTGAAGCCTTCTTAACCCTTGTCTCTCACCTGAAGGAGGAGCGTGTAATTAACACTGGCTAGTTTAAAGGCTTCCTTTGGTAACATCTCATTGAGGGGACTTCAGTCCAAATCCTTCTGAACTCAGCACATCTTCAGTAAGGTAAAGAGAGCAACCAGGAAGTTGTTAGCAGAACAGTGAGTTGATAACATCCTAGAAATTTTATTGTTGTGTCTTATACATTTTATATGGGGTCCAGTTGCTGTAGAGTCAGTTCTGACTCATGACTACCCCATGTCTGTCATAGTAGAGCTATGTTCCATACGGTTTTCTTTTGTAATTTATTTTTGTTGTTGTTGTTGAGAAAATACACAGCAGAACATACATCAATTCAACATTTTCTACATGTACAGTTCCCTACAGTCTTTGAGTAATGCAACCATTCTCACCCTCATTTTGTAGTTGTTCCTTCCCCTTTAACATAAACTCATTGCCCCCTAAGTTTCTTATTGACTTTTTCAAGTTTCTGCTGTCAATTTGATCTCAAAAGAATGCAGTGCTCAAGGCAGACATTCTTTATTAGTTATCCTGATGATTGGTTTTAAGAAGGCTTCAGGGATATTTTTGATTTGAGGCTTAAAAATGATCTCAAGGACAATAGTTTTAGGTGTTCATTCAGCCTCTGTGGTTCTGCATTACCCTCCTTTTGATCAGGATTCTTCTATAGAATCTTGATCAAAATATTCATTAATAGAAGCCAGGTGCCATCCAGTTTTTCTGCTATCTTGGCGTAAGAGGCAGTTATATCACACTTGGTTTTTTTACTCTGTTATACAGCTTTTGTCAATTCAACTTTCTACAGCTATACAACTTATTGACAGCAATTACATTAATCAATTGTATAGTCCTACCCTTATTCAATATATGTTTTCCATCTCTGTAAAGAATAACCTCTCGTCTCCTCACTTTTGCCAGCCCTTGATAACTGCTAATAAACTTTGATCTCTATACATTTGTCTGTTCTGTCTTTTCATTAACTGTGGTCATATAATATTTGTCCTTTTGTGATTGATTGATTTCACTCAGCATAATGTCTTTAAGCTCCATCCATATTGTAACATGCATCAAGTCCTGATTTCTCTTACTGGCTGTGTAGTATCCCATTATCTGTATGTAACATGGTTTCTTTCTCCAGTCATCCATTGTTGATGGGTATTTAAGTTGTTTCCAGTTTTGAAGTATTGTGAATAGTGCTACAAGCAACATTAGTGTACAAATTTCTTTTCGAGGCTCTGCTTTCAAGTCTTTTGGGTATATACCTAAGGAGTGGAATTGCTGAGTCATATGGTAGTTCTATTTTCAGCCTTTTAGGAACTACCACTCTGTTTCCACAACAACTGTACCATTTCACAGTCCCACTAGCAATGGGAAAGGATCCTATTTTCCCACTTTCTCACCAACATTTGTTATTTTCTGCTGTATTTTAAATCTTAGCCATCCTACTGGGAATAAAATGGTACCTTGTTGTAGTTTTGACTTGCATCGCTTTGATGTCTAATGATCTTGAGCATCATTTTCATGTATTCAGTAAATATATGAATGCTCTCTTTGCCCATTTTATGACTGAGTTGTCTTTTTGTTGTTGTCAAAAGTTTTAAATATAAATTGGCTATTAGATTCTTACTGGATATATGTTTTCCAAAGCTATTCTCCCAGTCTGTAGCTTTTTTGGTAAAGTTTTTTTATAAGAAAGCTTTTAATTTTTTATGAGTATCGTTTATTTATTTGTCTTTTTCTGTTTTTATATTAGAAACTATATTGTGGAAAACTAGATGCAACAGGGTTGTTCCCTGCATTTTCTCTCAGGAATTTATGAGTTTAGTTTGTACATTTAGGTCCTTAATCCATTTTGAATTTGTTTTTATGTGTGATATGAAGCATGGGTTTAGTTTCATGTTTTCTGAATGTGAAAACCAAATTTTCTCAACAGCATTTATTTGAAGAGACTCTTTCCCCATCATATGGACTTAGTATACTTGTCAAAAATCAGCTGATCATAAATATGAATTTATTTCTAAACTCTCAGTTCTATTAGTCTATTGTCTGTTTGTCTATTATTATACCACTACCAGGGTGTTTGGATTACTGTAGCTGTATGTTGTTGTTAAGTTCCACTGAGTCAGTTCTGATTCTTAGCTACCCTGTATATGGTTACTGAGGAGCAGATGGTGGTTTTGAACCACTAACATTGTGGTTCGCACTCCAGTGCTTATCCTGTAGCGCCACAACAGGAGTCATATAACATTTTCAATTCAGGAAATGTGAGTGAGAGTCTTCCTATTCTTCTCTTTGAACATAGTTCTGATGTGTCACTGTAGGAGAAAAATTGAACTACTAACTGTGAGGCTGGTGGTTCAACCCACCAGTTGCTCCTTGGAAATCCTGTACAGTGTCGCTATGAGTCAGAACCGACAACAACATGGCCTTTTAGGAGTCCTGCTGTGGTACTGTAGGATAAGCATTGGACTGCTAAGCAAAATGTCAGCGGTTCAAACTCACCAGCCACTCTTTTCCCTGAATTAGTTCTGGTATGTAAATGTAGAATAAGTACTGAACTGATAAGCTCCAAGGTCGGCAATTAAAATCCATTAGCTCTTCCTCATGAGAACTGACTTAATAGCACCTCATAGCAACAACAACAACATGGTCTCTTAGCCATTCCATATGAAATTGAAGATTTATTTTTCAATTTCTGTAAAGAAGACTTTGGAATTTTGATTGGAATTATGTTGAACTTATAGATCACTTTGGGTAGTATTGACTCTTTACAACCATCCCTCCCATATTACGACTTTTCTGTTGGGTTCAATAATTCATTGTAGTAGCCACACAGAACATAAACTCAAATTGTAGAGTTTAGGAGGGAAGTTAACAGGTTACGATTCAGGCTCTGAAATGTTCAGGATATAGTTCTTTGGTAGGATGGCCTCTTCTCAGCCATGCCCACAGGCAGACCTCTCTCTGGCCCTTAACTCCTTGTCCTGGCCTCTGCCCTGCTCTGGTAATATTACAAAGCTCTTTGAATGTTGTCAGTAAGTGCCCACAGGGCACACCATTCCACCATAAGCTTCAGCTCAAAGACACTCAGCTGAAGCTCCCATGGGTGAGCAAACCTAGCTCCCCTAATAAGTGCCTGGAGTTACCCCAATCCACAAGTGAGCGTCCTGCCCCAAAGCTTTTCTTGCTCCATGGGCGAAGCAATTTACTGTTCTACTTCATGCTCTGACTCTTGGTTCTGTTACTGCTTCTCCTCTGTCGCTCTTCTGATGCTCCTGGTGTCACACTCTGTCTTCTGGCTCAGAGAGGCTCAGCACACAGAGATCACAGAGTTCCAAGGATGCACTCCACCCCTGGCTGAGATGGTTCATCTTAAATCCACCAGAAAGTCACAACTAGCCAATCCCCATGTTAGAGTTTCAAGTTTATATTATTATTATATTATAATAATTCTGTTAATGATCACTGACAATTGAATCATATAGTCTTCCCCCACCTTATCTTACACAGACCTATCAGGAAAAGAGGAAATATTCCCAATCTGTGTTGCTCCCATTCAGTGGTTTGATCATGGCTATAAGAGCCCCACCAAGCAATTCACTTCACTGCAGTTGTATTGAACACACTATTTAAAAGTATAAAATTCATTTGAAAGAGACAAAATGAACACTGTTAGTAGGTTCATTGTGTGTTATTATCAACTAGTTTAATTTGTCCTGGTGTGGCACTGTGGGTTAATGCACTGGACTGCAGAGTCAGTTAAACTGCAAGTTTAACGGTTCTAGCTCACCAGCTAGCTGCTCCTTGGAAACACTATACATGGTCGCTGTGGGTCAGAACTGACTTGATGGCATTTAACAACAGTTGAATTTACTTTTTAACTTTTTATTATGAATTGAATAAAAGGTTTGCAGAGTAAATCTATTTTCCATTCAACAATTCACAGACATTTTATTTCTCATCATTGATTGCAGTGCCCTCAACCTCATCTCTTTCTACTCTGGGTTTCCCATTTCCTCCTTTTTTAACCCTTCCTGCCTTCTGAACTTTGTCCTTGGGCAAATGCTGCCCTTTTGATCTTGAGTGGTTGATTGTGCTAAGGTGTACATATCTCTGTCTTAATTATTTAGTGATGCTATAACAGAAATACCAGAAGTGGGTGAGGATTTTTCTTTGTTTTTTCTTTTTTAAGTTTTTATTGTAATTTGAGTGAAAGTTTACAGGGCAAAGCATCAGTTTTGAATTCAACAAATCATACACTTTGTTTCATTACAATGATTATAATCCCCTCCATTTACCATTAGTTACTGGTATTTTTCTCTCTATTGGTTTTAGCTCTTTTTTTGGCTTTGTTTTTTAAAAACTTAGGCATATATAATAATGACATCACCAAAGGGCACATTCTGCAAATCTGCTTCCTGGACTTCAGCTCTCAGTCCCTCTCTTTCCATGAATCTAGAGTCTCAGCTGCTCCCACTCTCCTTGTCCCCATCTCTGCCTCCGTTTCTGGTGTCACTGTTTCTCTGGATAGAGTCCCACATTCTGCTTGTGCTCTTCTCCCTTGATGGTCCTAGGGATGTAAGATTCCTGGAATGTAAGATTGATTGCTCCCCCTTTTTTGTTACTTCTACCTTTACAGGTGTGACTATCTCAATTAGTCATGGTAACAATTACTATTGAATCATAAGTCTTATCTGCATCTCTTTTCACCAGATCTGGCTAGACAAGATGGAAACTATTTAATGGGGACTCTGTGTTGCCCCCCCCCACTCTTAAACTAAACTCCCTCTTGAAAATTTGTAAGCCAATCACTTTGTGCCTTTATTGCCTCCTCATTTTAGGTAGCCATTGTCTAAGTTGCCTGTCCCTATCTACCCTGTATACAGACGGGATACCATTGATACTTTTGATACTTGATGTGAAGACTCTTTCCCTCTAAGTTGGTATTTTGAGCTACTACCTCCAGGTCAAATTCATCAAATTGTAGCATTTTACCCTCATTTCCATTATGTCCCCCCCCCCCAAAAAAAAAATTTATTATTATTATTTTTTAAATTGCCCTGTAGTCGAGTTCTGATTATTAAGCCGTTGAGCTAGGTCAAATGGGTACTATCTGCAAGATTGGGTGTTTTGTGCATCTCCCCTCTCTTCATAGCATCAGGATGCTTCACTCTCAGCTCTAGACCTCTGGCTATGTCGTTGTCCATGGGCTCAGGTGTCCCCAGATCTCACCACACTTTGGATCAACCAGCCCTTCCTCTTCTCTCATCTCCAGGTCAATGGGTGTCTATGGAAGGTGATTGAACTCAGCCCATTTAAAAGTGGGTAGTTTTAGCAAACAGAAGTTTATTCTCCTATACTTTGATAGGCTAGAAATCTGAATCTAGAGTACTGGCTCTGTTAAGAGGTCCTTGTCTCCTTTCGGCATCTGTAGTCCCTGAATGCCTTGGAGATCGCCATGTATCTTGGCATCAGTCTTTCCCTGGATCAATCCTGGTATGTAGCTGTAGGATAAGCACTGAACTGCTAACTGCAAGGTCGGCAATTAAAATCCACCAGCCGCTCCTTAGAAACCCTAACCCTATACACGGTCACCATAAGTTGGAACAGACTCCATAGCACCTAACAATAGGAGCATCACAGTGCATGGTACTATCTGCAAGTATGGGCATTCTTGTATGTCTTTCCTCACTCCATATCAGCTGGGTGCTTCACTCTCAACTCTAGCCCTCTGTGACTGTGTCCTTGTCCATGGGCTCAGGAGTCCCTAGGGCTCAACACACTTTGGACCAACCAGCCCTTCCTTTTCTATCATCTCAGGTCAATGGGAGTCTACGGAAAGTGGTTGAACCCAGCCCATTTCTTCATTGTTGCTTTTCCCTGTCTTCCACTCACCAGTAGATGAACATGGTCACCAGCAAGCTTACATGCCTGCTCATGTATTTCCTTTGAGTTTCAGTCTTGAAGGGGGGTTTGTCCTGAAGGACTTGATTGCTTGCCTTGATGATCTGTGTGCTGTTTTGTTATCAACCCACAACTCTACTGGTCTTCAGTCTTTAGTGACTAATGTATCAAATCTGTTCTTCAGATGATCTCTAAATTTAGGTGGGATATGTTCAAAGTCATATTTTGGCTCTCATAGAATTGTTTTAATTTCCTTCAGCTTCAGCCTGAACTTGTATATGAGCAATTTTGTTCCATAGTTGGCCCCTGGCCTTGTTTTGACTAATGATATGGAGCTTTTCCACTATCTCTTTCCACAGATGTAATCAGTTTGATTTCTGTGTATTCCATTATGTTAGGTATGTATGTCACTTTTTATGTTGTTTATTGTTAAAGTCAGCATTAATAGTATTATCTGACGAAACCATCAGAAAGATTAATGCTGATTGCAAGTAGGATCGTTTACACATTCTAAGTTTCCAAACAAAACTGTAGCATGAATGATGGTCCCGGCACCAAGTGATCCTAATAGAAGACAGTGTAGAAAATAGGAACTTTGGAAGAAGGATGAAGGAAAACACAAAAAGGGTGATTAAAAATAATGGTAGACTTAGTCAACCAAACCAGGCTCTGAACTTATAGTGAAGATATGAATTTGCTGAATATGAGTGTGCTTTTAAAAGTTCATAGAAAAATGGAATTGAAAAAATCATGGAATTTTCCCACAGACTTTTGGAGTAATCCCCCTTGCATTTTGGTATTAAATTTGTCTTATAACTGTTATAATTTCTTCTACTTGTTAAGTGGTCTTAGTTTCTTAAGTGCTACTATAACAGAGCTACCACAAGTGAGTGGCTTTAAAGGGAAACACAGGTCTAAGAGAAGGCTGTCTCCTCTCGGTATCTCTTGGCTTTGTACTGGCAATTGAATAGTACAACCTCTGCTGTCAGTTAATGAAGTTCCATTTCGCCTGTTTGCAATAGACTTTAAACTAATGATAATAAAAGAGTCAATTACTCTTTGTCTATTGACAGCAACTTAAAAAAGATAACTTAAGTGCAACCATTCACAGCAGTTTCAAAGGAGCAATTCCTTCCTGCTTACCTTCTCTCCTGTTGTTTTTTGTTTTGTTTTGTTTAGCTTTTTTGAACAATAATAAAATGTCTTCATTTAGGAACAAGAAGTGGAATTATTTATAGATTTCATATACTAATTATAAGGAGCTCTGGTAGTTTAGTGGTTACGAATCGGGCTGCAAACCGCAAGGTCAGCAGTTCAAAACTACCAGCTGTTCCGTGGGAGAAAGATGAGGCGTTCTGCTCCCGTAAAGATTTACAGCCTCGGAAACCCTGTACAGGGTCGCTATGGGTCGGAACCGACTCAACGGCATTTAACAACAACAACATACTAATTATACAAAGGGATTTCAAAAAGTTCATGGAAAAATGGAACTAAAAGGTAATTTTTCCACGAACTTTTGAAAGCCTCCTTGTATAATAGTTTATATTTAATAGACTGTTTACCATATTCCAAGGCAATCTATTTTCTTTTTCAGGTTTAAAATAGTTTCCCTTCTGGCCTGCGGGGACTGTTCTGCCACATCATTTTTGTAAATAAAAAATGCCTGGGTACCTGGCAGCTAGGAAAGGGTTTCTTGTAACATACTACTCAGCACAAGCAGAACTTACTCTTTACATCAGAATCACCATAGCAATACAGTGGCACTCGCAACTACAGAAGGAAGGGAGGGAGAAACAAGGGGTAAATAGGAGCTCTCTTCTTAACTTTGTCCAGGAAACAATACTGTGTAAGACCCCAAGTTTAAAAATTGTGTTTTCCCCCATCTTCAGAAGCAGCCTGTTCACAGGGGTGTGGTGTTGACTCCAATATCGACTCCAGTTCTGCTCAGAAGGCCCTCTGTGGCTTGCACTCCCGGCAGCCAGCGACGCTCACAATGTCGATCTCAGGGCACCACAAGTCGGAGCATCTTGTATACAAAGCGGTCAGTCAAGTCCTCCACGTTCTCGGCAACAAAAATGAATGTCAGGTAAAGATACTGCTCCAAATGTAGCCAAGGGCAAGATTGCAAAGCTTTAGTGCTCCTAAAGCATTTAGGCAGGCTCTACCAAATAAATATTAATGATGGTAACAAAAGGATCAGAGACACAGATCAGTGAACAATTTTCATTTTTTCTTTTTAAATTTGTGTCTGATTTCTTGTTTTATGTCTTTTTTTTTTTTTTGTAATGTTTTATTGTGAATTATGTGATGGTTTATATGGGAGAACATTAGTTTCACATTCATCCTATCATATATCATTTCATTACCATGGTTACAATCCCCTCCTCCATGCATCATCAACCAACCAAAGGGTATACTCTGCAAGCCTGCCCCGCAGTCATCAGCACACAGTCTGATGTCTAAAGTCCCCAACTGCTACATCTCTCCACGTCATCGTCTTTGCCTTCATCTCTGGTGTCACTGTTTCTCTGGGCAGGGTCCCGCACTCTGCTCTTCTCCCTTGATGGTCCCAGGGACCTCTGCTCCTAGACTGCAAAGTTAATCACTCCTCTCCTTGCTACAAAATGTCTACGTTTACATTTCCAACCCTCAAGGTTCAAACCATCCTTGAGGTCCAGTGCATTATCCTGCAGTGCTATACCAGGACTCTACAAATTGTGTTAACTTTTGTCAAACTACATCCAAATCTGACTACTTCTCACTAGTTCTTTTAATGTAACTACCCTGATCCATGCCACCATCATCTCCCTCTCAAATTTTTGCAGTCACACTAACTTTTATGGGTAAAGCATTATTATTACTTCTGAAGAGCAGCCAGAGTACTTGTTAAAGAGTGATACATAATCTAGTCCTAAATAAAGACAGGAGATAAGATATATGAATTTGGGGTGGTGGTTGTATGCTGTCAAGTCAGTTCAGACTCACAGCAACCCTGTACAGGGTTTCCAAGGAACAGCTGGTGGTTTTGAACCATCAACCTTAAAGTTAGCTGTCCAGTGCTGATTCGGTAGCTCCATACTAGGACGATTCCTTAACTAGTATTAATCACGTCCTAACCAGGAAACTGTAGGCCTGTTGCTGCTGTGCAATCCAGTCAACTTCCACTCAGAGCCACGCTGTATAGGGTTTCTGAGGCTGTAAATCATTATGGGGACAGAAAGCCTCATCTTTCTTCTGTGGAGAAACTGGTAAATTCTAACCTGCTGACCTTGTGGTTACTAGCCCATGTTGTAGCCTACAACGCTATCAGGCTCCTTAAAGCTCTAATTTCTTAATTTTATTGTGTCATAATGACCACGTGCCCTATTGATTTGTTGGCCCCTTCTGCTTTCTTTGCTGTGCTTTTCCTGACATTAGGGTAGCCCTCAACTGTGACTGTCTCCACAGATGAAGATTTTCCGGCTCCTTTCTTCTAATTTCCAAACTTTTTTATTGTGAATCGAGTGAAGGTTTACAGAGCAGATCATCAGTTTTACATTCAACAAATCATACAGTTCATTTCATCTCAATGACTATAATCCCCTCAGTGTAATATTATTTATCCCACTTCCTCTCCGTGTTTATTTCCATTTGTTTCCACACTTTAATTCTCTCCTTTTAAAGGACATTTGAAGCATGTTACAGAGCTTCCTCATCAAGTGTAATCATCTAACAAATAGTTTTAAACTTAAAAATTTCCTTAAAGGTTGGAGTCCTATTTATTGTTAACTTTGAATAGAAGTCAGTGTGAATGGATCCTGTTTCACAACACACTAGTCAAGGGGCTAGTCTTTGTTGCTTCACTGCACTATGCAAGGCAGACTGGCATTTGCAGCACGTCAAACACAGCTAATTTTCTGAACTCTTAGTAGAGTCATTAATAAGAATTTAGCAATATCCATTCAAGGTCACCATCAAATCTTTAGTTGTAAACCCAGAAATTCCTTTCTATTAATCTCTACCATCTGCCTAATATATATATTTACCATAACAGGATTTTCATTGAATATAAGACATTATTGATTCAAGATTCACTGTTATTTTATGAACTACTAAGGGCAACATTGCCAGTTAACTCTGACATGACATGCTACCAACCGCAAACTACATCTCCCCAATTTCAGATATACTAAATTACAGGGAACATGTGTAACAGAGAGTCAGTGAAATAAAAGCATTTATGGCAACTTGCTATCATTAGAGGATGGCCTTGTTCGGCGTTCCATTCTTCTCATCAGCTGACATAGCAGCGTCCCATCCGCTTTGCTTACCAAGGGGAGGAGGAGAAGAAAGGTTGCTGCTTGGAGCATTTACTGAACTGTAACTTGACACAGACAGGCATCTTCAGCCAGCTCTGAACTAACACTGACCAAGTCAGAACAGAAAATACAGTATCATATTTCACTGACACAGAAGTTGATAAATGATTTGTCTTAGCATATGTGTTTTAAGAAGATGTATGTTCTGTAAAAGTGGCTCACTTGTATAACAAATATTTATTGAGACCCTTTCACTGCTTAGCAGTGGTCAGGTGATTTTGTGTATAACCGTGGCACAGATATTCATGTCTTGTACTCTACTGTCCTCTTTAGGTTTTCGGCTGCTACTGAAGATAATGAGCATAAACGCTCACTGACCAAGACTCCAGCCAGAAAGTCTCCACATGTGAATGTATCTGGGAGTACCCCCAAAGGCCTGACTGTGCTTGAGACACAAAAGTTAAAGGCTGCCAAGCCTGATTCTGCTGCTGGTAAAACTCTTCTGGTCCATCTTTAAGCCATGTGTTGTTGTTAAGTGCCATCTAGTCAGTTCCAACCCATAGTAACCCTGTATAGGGTTTCCTAGGAGAAACTGGTGACCCTGAACTGCCAACCTTGAGGTTCAAACCAACTCTGCCGTCTGGTATATTAACCCACAGCACCACACCAGGACTCCTTTAGCTATGTAACTTCTTGAAATGATTAAGAGTATCTATTTCTTTACAACTTCTTCACAAGTACAAAAGCAACATTTTTTTTTTCTCTCTCTCTTTTGCTCTGTAGCATTTTATACTGGTAAGGGATAGGCCAGAGACACAGCAAGAAACTGAAATAAACCTGAGGCATTCAACTTTTCCAAAAGGGGTCCTAGAGTGGTGACCCTTCCTAAAGAGTGCTCAGCCCCGTCTAGGACTCAGGGACTAGATGAAGGATCACAAATACTCACTACAACCTCTGAAAGGGCTGCAGGACTCAGCACAGAGTTTATAAAGTAAATGCTACACTATTTAGGAACAGAGTGTGCAAGCCAGAATGGGGTTGCTCCTACACACACTGTCTGTCATCACGTACAGTGAACATACAGATAATATTGCACTAGCACTGTGAGAGTTTCAAACACCTAAATAACGTCAGGATTCTCCAGAGGAGCCTACTGAATGTGGCAGTTACCTTGAAGGGCTTGCTAGAATCCCTGCACCTGTGGGATAATCCCCTTAGTGGATTTCCTCGTGTCTTAAAGACCTACATTTTACATTTAAGATTTAAGTAGTGTGACTGACAGCTAAACTTCAAGATAGTCCTAGCAGAAGAAATAGGAAATGTATAAGGTTCCTCCTCCAAATGACTTCTGTCATCCTTGTCCTACTCCTTATTGTTGTCTAGTGTCGTTGAGTCAGTTCCAACTCATAGTGACCCTGTATAGGGTTTCGAGGAGCGACTGGTAAGCTTGAACCCCTCCGACCTGACAGTCCAGCACATTAGCTCACAGCACCACACCAGCAAGCAGAAATGCCATGCAATATTCCAAACCAAACTGCAGTATAGGGAAGGTAGAGCTTGGGCAACTAATGGACAGTGCACTTGCCTCAGATATGACCCTGGCATTGCACGGAGGACTGCGAGTCCCTACACCCCTAACAATGAGAAAAAGAGTTCAGGAGTCTAAGATAAAACCATGAGCCAAAGACTAAATGTGGGCCACATCCTGAGCCTTCTCTAAGTGATCCAGGGGTGTGCCCAGTTGTTTTTCCCTCAGTTATTGCATATGAATTTTTTCTAAACCAAACTGGTAAATTTCTTCCTGTGATTTGCTTCATTTGTTCAGCGTAATGTTTTGAGATCTATCTTTGTTGCTAGATAAATTAGAATTCTTTTATTTTCACTCAGTTTTTCAATGGTATGAACATAGGTCACTTTATCCATTTTGCTGCTCATGGAAGTGTAGGTGGTTCCAACTTGTTATTATAAATAGTGCAGCTATGAAGATTCTTGAACATGTTCCCCATGTGTGTGTGATCCCCAGGAGAGCTGCTTTATCAAAGGATATGCATACATTTCACATGCTTCTACTAGCCCTATATGACACCCCTGTTCTTCTCCCTGATGACACTTGATACTGATACAGTGGGATAGCTTCAGTACAGAGCTTTGGTTTGGTTTTGCTTTATTTAATCAGGTATTCCTAGAGCCCGGTTGCCAAGCTGCTTCCTTCCCTATACTGCAGTTTGGTTTGGAATGTTGCATGGCATGTCTGCTTGCTGGTGTGGTGCTGCTGTGAGCTAATGCGCTGGACTGCCTGGTCGGTGGGGTTCAAGCTCACCAGTCGCTCCTCCACAAGTAGAGCTAAGTGGTAATATCAGCAGTCATCTTGGTGCAACTGAGTGGCTTTCCCATTGAAGGAAAAAGATTTGAAAATTTATCAGATGTTTAGTGCTAATTCTAGCAAAAATCTTAGTAGATTATACTATCCTGACATGTTTTTAATTTTCCAGTACAAAAATTGAGAAAAATAATCCAGAAAAATTATCCAATTATTTCTTTCCATGGGATTCTAAATTCCCAGTTGATCCTAGGAAATGGATAACATCCAAAATATTTGGGAAGCTTCTACCAATTTACACAGGGGTTCCATTTACTCACTTTTTGCTCTCTTTACTTTTCTTACACCTTTTTCACCCACATCTGTTTCAGACAGTTCATATAGACTTGAGAAGTGATACTTTGATAAGATCTGTAACTGGTCTTTTGTCCTAATGAAGCCCTTGGGGTTTGTTTTGTTTTTAAGTTATTACCCCCTTCAAACTGACTGCAGAGGCAGTGCAGACTCCTGTGTCCAGTAAGAAACCAGTGTTTGATCTCAAAGCAAGTTTGTCTCGTCCCCTCACCTATGAGCCACACAAAGGTACGCGGGGGTGTTCTGAGGTACACAGCATGCAAAAAAAGTGAAGATTTCACAATTCTGTACTTCAAGATGTGAAAAAATTCTAGCGGTTCAATTCAAGCCATTGGTGACCTAGAATTCCTGTCCCTGCTTCCACACAGACAGACTCCTGCTTGAAAAGTCTGGCTGTTAAGCAACCAAATATCAAGTAATAAATTCTCTTCCATTTTATTAATTAGACTTGATTTCTAATCAACATTACTACAAAAAAAATGAACCCCAGATCAAGAATTTTAAAGTTAGTCTATGCAACTTTTTTTCAGTAAATGAGTGCTTTCCAAGTTAGAAACCACCAGTGTGTCACCCTGGGACATTTATCAGTCAGCTGTCACTCTTGGACATATATGAAAGTAACATTATATCTATCTAAAATATCAGTACCCAATCTGTCTTTCAGTGTTTCTGGAATAACTTCAAAACAAAATTTCCTAAAAGAATCACAGTTAGGCAACAGTGTCTCTTCTTTCCATTTCTATTGTCAATAAAGCATAAATCTGAGTTATTTAGAGGTCTGCTAAACTATAGTTGAAAATGAACTCTCTACTTCCCACCCAGACCCACTAGGTCTTTCCCTTCTGTGACATCTACTTGGTCCAGACAGAAACCTAGGAGTCTTCCTTTCCTCCCCACATTCTCACTTTCTTTCCATCAGCTAAGTCCTCTTAACTCCATCTTGTCACCCTTCTACTGTAACCTTATTTGGTCCAGGTCACAATTCTCGCTTATTTCTAGACTAGCCTCTGTGTTACACTGTAACAATTGAAAACAAATCAGAGAGCCATCACTCCAAAGATTTTTCCACTTCTCTTCCCCAACCTCATTTCATTCATTGCCTTCCTTCTCTTGACTGTGTTCCACCCACAATGGTATTTCACCAAAAATACCCAGTTTATTTCCACCTCTGGGACTTTGAACTTCCTCTTTTACTCTACCTCGAATACTCTTTTTACAGACCTTTATTGAGCATTCACGTAACTCATCACTTCAGAAAGGCCGTCTTCTTCCAGCCTGCCACACTCGCTTTTTACCTCCTTATCAGGTTTTACATTTCTTCATCACACTTAGTACCATCTGACGATATGTTATTCTCTCTCCTGCTGGATATAAGCCCAGCAGGGCAGAGGTTTCTGTCTGCTTGTCTCCCTGCTGTGTCCCATGTTTGTGCTCATCATATTCAATGAATGGCTGTAACCGCCACTTATGTTTCTGCTCATGAGAAACCATCAGTGCTCCTTATTGTTTTCAAGTGCTGTATTTAGTTCTTTTTGTTTTATGGGAATGAAATAAGGAATACTAATTTTAGCGTTTACCTTTCAAATCTTAGGATAATAAAATGGGAAACATATATAAAAGAAATCATTGGTCCTTGGGAACATGTTATAGACTGTATACAAATATTTTTTAAACTTTTTTTTTTTTTAACTTGGAAATTTGGTCCCAGTTCTAAAACCAACAAAATATTACTATTCACTTCAAATACATTTCAGCAAGTTAACAGTAAAGATAAACTCTACCAATAAAATACTCCTTTAATATTAAAACATACTATTCTTTGTAATCTGCGGTTGTAATAACTTACTTTAATGTTCTGTGTAGATGGATGTTTTTGTGAATTTAAAAATTGAACACATGTTTTTGGGGAATCTGAAACTGAAATCAGTAACAGAATGTAGGTAGCAAGCAGGCAGCCACAGAAAGAAAATAAAGTTGGAGCATAAAGAGAAGAATCTTCTTAAATCGTTGTCTCTGTACTAAATTAGGGAAGCTGAAGCCATGGGGGCAATCTAAAGAAAATAATGCCATGAATGAACATGGAAGCAGAGTGAGCTTCTATAAGAAAACGTACAAACAACCTCATCTCCAGACAAGGTGAGTACATGACTGACTGTTTCTCTAATTCTTTTACTTTGGAAAGGCTGTATAAAGGGGCAAAAAAAGTTCATGGAAAATGGAATTTAAAAATAATGGAAAATTTCCATTAACTTTCTGAAGCCCCCTCCTATATAAAAGCAGACCCTCTGAGGGATAGTCTCAGTAATAGTGGTTCTTAACAAGAACTTAGAAATGGAATCACCTGTTGTTGTTGAGCACCATCCAGTCAGTTCTGACTCATACTGACCCTGTATAGGGTTTCTGAGGAGTGGCTGGTGGGTTCAAACTGACAACCTTGTGGTTAGCAGTCCAGTACTTATTCTACAGAGCCCCACATTAGGGCTCTGGAATCACTTATAGGAGTTTCTAAAATTATGAATACCTAAGCCCACTACAACAATGGTCTCTTGATTTAGTAGGTTTAGAGTGGGGTCCATCTCTGCAGAATAGAAAGAAAAAAAAAAGCACTTTAATTTCCTTCCAGAAACCAGTACTAAAGGTAGCATGATACCATCTCACTTCCTGCCCCCGCCCCCACCGGAAAAAAGAACGCAGTTGCCATTGATTCACTTCTGGCTCATGTGATCCCAGGTGTCAGAGTAGAGTTGTAACTCAAGGGTTTCCATCAGGTCTTCAGGCCTTTCTTCCAAAGCACCTCTGGGGAGACCTGAACAGCCAGTCTTTCCACCAGCAGGGACCCCTCCAGGTAGATGTAAATTCTTCATTGTCTGGGTTACCAGGCTGTAAGGCATCACGGTCTTGTTGATTGAGTCGGTTCCATCACACAGCACCCTTAGAGGGTTTCAGAGACTGTAAATCTCTGGGAGCAGAAAGCCTCCTCTTTCTCCCATGGAGTGGCTGATGGGCTAAAAGTGCCAACTTTGTGGCTCACAACCCAGTGCTTAATTCTGCAGAGCCACTGCACTCCCATCAAGGCCTCACATTAGTGCTATGAACTGCTTTGAGCCAGTTTAGTCATGACTGGTGAAAGAGAATCAGAACAGAGTCAATTTTTTAAAATCTGGGTAAAGCAGAACCATAGCTAGAACAAGGAAAATTATAGGTCCAAGCCCTGGGACAGGAGAATCAAAAGAGGCACAGTGAGCCTTTTAGTAAACTTTGTGGGAGGCTGCATTATTGCCAGGACTGTACAGAGTGGCACGTGAAGAGTGTGGCAGGTGGCTGGTATCTTTGAGTTAGGGCATCACCGTTTCCAACTCTTTTGTTCAAGAGGTTTGGGTGCTATGCAACATACGCAGCTGCTCTTCCTCAGAGAGAGATTAATTATGTTTCTAGGAAGGCACTAAACTATAATTTTTCTTATTCCAGTTCACCTATACTTTACAAATTGGGATCTGTTGTGATTAAAATAGTATTATCCTAGACTTTTTTTATTGCCTATACCCTTTTAGAAAACTGAAAAATAGTAGCTTGCCTCAGTAGATCTTGTTCTAGTTCCAAAACTTTCCCTATGATTTCTGAAATTGACCTTTGACTTCTAGTAGAAGAGATTTCTCATTTAAAACAAACAGAAAAATACAAGGGTTGGATTCAACTGCCAAGGTGCCTTTAGGTTACAGTACTGTGCTTCATTTTAAAACACTGAATATGCACAAAATACCAATTGCTAGCCCTTTAACACAACAATCACTGACAGGTGTGGACACCCCCACCCCACATCATCTTCCAGTTCTAGGACCAGTATGATAGAGCATGTTAATGCTCTCAATTTAGTTCAGACTCATAGGGACCCTGTATAGGGTTTACAAGGAGCAGTTGGTGAGCTTGAACCGATGACCTTGCAGTTCAAACGACTTTGCAGTCTGACGCATTAACCCACAGCGCCACACCAGGACTCATGATACAGCATGTTGTTGTTGTCAAGTGCTGTCGAGTCGATTCCAACCCATAGTGACCCTGTATAGGATTTCTAAGGAGCAGCTGATGAGCTTAAACCACCGACCTTGCAGTTCAACTTTGCAGTCTGATGCATTAGCCCACAGTGTCACACCAGGACTCCATGATAGAACATAGTACCCCATAAAGAGAGTTTTACAGGACAGGCTTGAACTGCTGACTTTGTGGTTCACAGTCCAGTGTTTATCCTGGCCAGAACTCCGAGGTTATGTGATGGGCCAGCGGTGCAGTCATCACTGTTCAGAACACACACAGTATCCTCAAACTCAGGCTGTACAGAACCCCTCACCTTTGAGAGGGCACCTCTGAGTTCCCACATCTGAGAAATCCCAGAGTTCAGCAAGAAGCCCTTTGTGAAATAGGTGGTCACCTGAAAGATAACTGAGATCTTGTACTCCCAAAGTTTCCTGGCCTCAGATTTCTCTTGTTTAGCAGCTGAGAATCTTTTCAGAATCCCTCACGTCACTAAACAGTTTACCACAGGTGACTATCAAACCAAACCATAGACTCTATGTAGGGTTTCTAACCTACATAAATCTTTATGGGCGTAGACAGTCTCATCTTTTCCTGTGGAGTGATTGGTGGGTTTGAACTACTGACGTTGCAATTAATTTAGCAACCTAATGCCTAACCCAAGGAGCTCTGGTAGCATAGTGATTACGAATTGGACTGCAAACAACAAGGTCAGCAGTTCAACCGTGTTGCAGTAGCTCAAAAGAGGGAACAAATCTTTACAGCGAGGATCATTCCCACCCTCTCCATACACAGAGTAGACAGGGATGGCCAACTTGGACATTGGCTACCCAAAATGGGGGTGGGGGGATACAAAGAAGTGACTGGCTTACAAGCTTTTTCAAGATGGAGCCTAGATCAAGAGGGTGCGAAGAAAAGTAGAATCTCCACTGAGCAGTATCCAGTCTGTCTGGGCGGGGCTGATGAAAGGAGATAGGGATGGGTCTCTTGTGATACAATAGTGAATAATTGTTATTAGGACTGATTGTGAGGGTTGGAAATGTCAAGGTAGATGTTTTGTAGCAAAAGGAAGGGCGTGATTGACTTTGCAGTCTAGGAGCCTAGGTCCCTCAACAATCAATCAAGGGAGAAGTGCGGAGTGCGGGACCCTACCCAGAGAAGCAGTGAGGCCAGAGGAGGCAGAGATGATGATGTGGCGAGATGGAGCAGCTGGTGACTCTAGACCCAGAGAGGGAGAGGGGCTGTGTGCTGATGACAGGGGGCAGGCTTGAAGGGTATACCCTTTGGTTGGGTGATGATGCATGGAGGGGACTGTAACCATGGCAATGAAATGATATACAAAAGATGAATGTAAAGCTAATGTTCTCCCACGTAAACTATCACATAATTCACAATAAAATATTAAAAAACAAAACAGTATAGTGCTTCCTCTAAAAAATTAGAAAGAGAAATGCCACATGATCCAATAATCCTACTCTTAACGTATATACCCTAGACAAATGGCACATGACAGGAGTGGTTATTTGCAAATCCATGTAAATTGTAAACCCAAGAAGGAAGAGGAGATTACAGTCAAGGTCATTATTAAAAGGTATATGAATTGTTGAATGAAAAGCCAATTTGCTCTATGAAATTTCACTTAGATCACAATAAATTAAAAAATACATATATTGATGCCAAAAAAGTGTACTGGACATCACTCCTAGCCTAACAATAGTTGCCTTAAAGTATATCTGTTCTGATGCTTCACCTGACTAACTTTGTGACCTGTCACTTTTAGGGAAGAGCAGCGGAAGAAACATGAGCAAGGACGAAAGGAGAAGAAAGCAAAGGTTTTGGGAGCCCGGAGAGGCCTCACTATAGCAACAGATTAATGTTTTCTTAATATTCTGTTATTCTAAACCATTTTGTCTTTGCTTCTGTAAATATTTTTATTCTGTCCTCACTTTCATCAAGCCCTCTTTCTTCTCCTGTGTTTATATGTAGTGTCTGTGGCCTCCACCTACTGTATCTCTTTAAAGATTCTGTCACTATAAAGCTGAAGATAACAAGTTAAACATAGGGACGCTTGGATGAAGAGGTGTCACATCTTCAGTGTCTAATATAGAGAATCCAGTAATGAAATGATGGGCCATATGGTTTAGTTATGACATCAATATTTTACCTGTGTGAAAAATGTTTTTGTCTAAGCTTATATAATTACCTTTGTCTAAACTCATATATAAAATCACTTCATGTAACTGCCATGTATCGCTCATTATATTCTTAAGACGCTACCTAATTGTAGTGCACTTATTTTAACAAAAAAGGTACAGGGCCATATGGAAATTTGAAAATGGCTACTTTAAGGATTACTATGTTCTGTAGAGCTAGCATCTTAATCAATTTATAGAAAGGAATAGAGTTGCTTAGCATTATATCCACTTTGTTGCACATTAAGTAGAGCTTTTTGTACTGCTTAAGATTTTCATAAATAAAATTTTTTCTCATTATGTTAGCTTCATTTTTTGTAAACAAGTTTTAGCTGACCAACTAAGATGAACAACAGTTTATATTTACCTTTCATGCCTCTTTTCTTGACCACCACTCCCAATGCAGAAAGAAGGTAAACATATATCCTTCCTTAGAGGGTATATTCCCACAGTACCTTTCAGATTGTATTATGTGTGTATTATGTGATTTGTACTCAGTGATAAATTTAGATTTCCCTATCAAAAGAGATACCATCAATCAAGAAACCGCTAAGTAACTGTCAAATACATTCTGATCAAAAACAGTTCTTGGCATCACCCCTCGACATTAAAATGTGCAATCTTTGAGCAAAGTCACAGGTCAAAGTCTGGTTTCATGCACTGTTTCCTTGATGTGGACCCTCTTAACAACCAGGTTTAATCTTGTCTTAGAGAATACATACCAGGCACTGGGTGGACGGTATTAAAGAATACTTTTTTTTCATCTGTCACTGTGGGTTCTACTATCCTTAGTTTATTAACACAAAACGGCCACATGATCATTATTTAAAAAGTCGTGGGTTAAGGTCTGGAGAATTTTCATATGCAAATTCTTCCTTGTGGGCTGGATCTGTAAAAACTCCAATAAAGTCTATTTCCAAGAAGAATGGGCCATCCACTTTATCAGCAAGAGTGAGTCCTATAGAAGAGATCTAAAGAAAGAATTCATTAAAAGAGAAAAATGTGAAACAAAATTTATAAAATTAAAATAAAAAGACCAGGCTAATTGGAAGAATCTCTTCAGGCCTGGAACTGAATTCACCCCATGGCTCAATTTTTCAGCCAAACAATAGACAAGTCTGTAAGGTGAACAATAACATTAGGGAAGTATGCAACCCTTACAATAATCAACCATGTAGTATCAAAAGGCTAGCACTATCATTTGCTAAAAGAGAAATTTATAAGGCAGGAAGGGTTAGGAAAGAAAAATGAATATAAACAGGAAACCACCAAAGTGATGAGTGATGAATGTTATATTGTGGGGATTACAATTAATAACAAAATAAAGTGTTCAACGGGAAACTCATTTACTCTGTAAACCTTCATCCAATTCACACACACACATACACATACAAAAATTTTACAATAACCCACAAATCATAAAAATACCTAGGATTTAGTGGTGGTGGTGGATATGTGCCGTGGCGTCACAGGTTTCCGAGGCTATAAATCTTTAAGGGAGCAGAAAGCCTCATCTTTCTCTCCTGCGGAACAGCTGGCAGTTTCGAACTGCTGACCTTAAGGTATGCAGCCCGATTGTAACCACTACGTTACCAGAGCTCCTTAGGATTTACAGTACTGTAGGGTAATACACTAGACTACAAGGTAGGCAGTTCCAAGTTCACCAGCCAATCAGGGTCATTATGAGTCAGAACCAAATTGATTGCACTTAACAGCTAAATAAAAAGTTCTGGTGATGCAGTGGTTCAGTGCTCAACTTTTAACACAAAACTGCTGGAAAAGATAAAGGAATCTACTTCCACAAAGACTGTAGCCCTGGAAACCCTACTTAAAACCATCTGTGTAAGACCAAACCATCAACAATTACTCAAAAGCAAAGATAGGGGGGTAGGAAAACTTCACAGAGGTCTGATATAGCAGATTTGCCTAGTGTAATACATCATTTGATTTCTTGATTGCTGCTTCCATGAGTGTTGATCTGAGCAAAATGAAATTTGTGACAACTTCAGTCTTTTAAGTCCTCTTCTCTTTCAGCAAGCAAGGTTATATCTGCATATCACAGGTTGTTAATGGAGTCTTCCTCCAATTCTGATGCCACATTTTTCTTAATATAATCCAGCTTCTTGGAATACTCATTCTCCATAATGTCCATAGCTTGTCATTACCCACACAATCGAAAGCCAATAAGGCACAGGTAAACATCTTTCTGGTATTCTCTGCTTTCAGCCAAGATCCATCTGGCATCAGCAATTATATCCCTTGTTCTGTCCTTTTCTGAATTCAGCTAGACTCTCTAGAAGCCCTCTGTCAATGTATGGTTGCAGCCATTTAAAAATGATTTTTAGCAAAATTTTACTTGCATGTGATATTAATGATATTGTCCAATGATTTCCACATTTTGTTAGGTCATCTCTCTTTGGAATGGGCACAAATAATTGATCTTTTACAATTGGTTGGCTAGGTAGTTATCTTCCAAATGTCTTCGCATCGAATACTGAGCAGCACCTTCAGTGCTGCATCAGTTTGTTGAAAGATTACAATTTATATTCTATCAATCCCATTTGTATACATATATGTTCTTGTTGTTAAGTGCCATTGAGTCAGTTCCACCTCACAGTGACCCTGTATAGATAGGGTTTCCAAGGCTGTAAATCATGATGGAACAGAAATCTTCATCTTTCTCCCATGAAGTAGCTGGTAGGCTCAAACTGCTGACCCTGTAGTTAGCAGGCCAGTACTTAGCCTACAGTGCCACACCAGAACTCAATGACTGCAATCCCCTCAATGTGTTTTTTTGTTTCCATTCCTCCTCTCCCAACCTTTCTGAACTTGGTCCTGGGTAAAAACTGCCCTTTTGATCTTGAATGATTGACCATTCTATGGTGTGCATACATCACTAGTGTTGTTGTTTCCTCTCCCTGCCTCGTACTTAGTATTTATTTCTTGGCTGAAAACTGTGCCCTGTGGCATTGTATGAGAAGCACTGGACTAACTGCAAGGTTGGCAGCTCAAACCCACCAGTGTCTCCATGAGAGTAAGGTAAGACTTTCTATTCTCATAAACACTTTATGGCCTCAGAAACCCCTATAAAGGGTCCCTTTGATTTGGGGTTAACTCGAGGGCAGTGGGTTTGGTTTTTGTTTACATACCTATGTATTGCTTGGCTGAACATTAAGCTATGGGATGAGTTCAGTTGCCAACCTGAAGGGTGGCCAAAAGTCATAGTATCAGGTTCCACCAGTCTGTAGCTGATCAGTAAGCCCAGTCTTTTTTAGGATTATGAGTTTTGTTCCACATATATTGTTGTTAGGTGCCATCCAGTTGGTACTGACTCATAGTGACCTTATGCACAGCAGAAGAAAACACTGCCCGATCCTGGGCCAACCTCTCTGTATTGTTGCCATGCTTGAACCCATTGATACTACTTGGCCAATCCATCTCGCTGGGAGTCTTCCTCTTTTTCCCAGACCTTCCACCTTACCAAACATGATACCCTTCTCCAGCAACTAGTCTCTCCTGACAATATATCCGAAGTATGAGTGACGAAGTTTGGCCATCTTGGCCTCCAAGGAGCACTCTGGCTGCACATCTTCCAAAACAAATCTATTGGTTCTTTTGGCAGCCCATGGCATTTTCAATATTCTCCTCCAACAGCATAACTCAAAGGCATCAATTCTTCCACGGTCTTCCTTATTCACTGTCCTGCTTTCATATGCATATGAGGTTATTGAAAATACCATGGCTTGGGTCAGGCACACCTTAGTCCTCATGCTCACATCTTTGCTCTTCAACACTTTCAAAAAGTCTTGTGCAGCAGATTTGCCTAAGGCAATACGTTGTTTGATTTCTTGACTGCTGCTTCCTTGAGTGTTGATAGTTGATCCAAGAAGAATGAAGTCCTTGACAACTTCAATCTTTTCTCTGTTGATAAGAATGTTGTTTCTTGGTCCAGTGGTGAGACTTTTTGGTTTCTTTACATTGAGATATAATCCATACCGAAGGCTGTGCTCTTTGATCTTCATCAGTAAATATTTTAAGTCCTCTTCACTTTCAGCAAGCAAGGTTGTATCATTTGCATATCGCAGGTTGTTAATGAGTCTTCCTCCAATCCTGATGCCATGTCTTTCTTCATATAACCCAGCTCCTCGAATTATTTGCTCAGCATACAGGTTGAATAAGTATGGTGAAAGAATACAATCTTGTAGCATACTTTTCTTAATTTTAAACTATTCAGTGTTCCCTTGTTCTGCTCAAACAACTGCCTCTTGGTCCATGTACAGAGTCCTCATGAGCACAATTAAATGTTTCAGAATACTCATAATTCACAATGTTGTCCATAGCTTGTCGTCATCCACACAATCGAAAGCTTCTGTGTAGTCAATAAAGCACAGGTAAACATCTTTCTGATATTCTCTGCTTTCAGCCAAGATCCCTTTGAGAGCGTAAAATTTAAGGACTTGACGAGGGACTAAGTCATTGGGCTTGAGGGCTTAGAACAATAGTCTTGGGGAACATCTAATTCACTTGGTGTTAACAACACTCACAAAGCCAATGTTCTACATCTTTGGTGAGGAATGCCTGAAGTCTTTAAAGATTGTGAGTAGCCATGTAGGATGCAACTGTTGGTCTCTCACTGTCCAGAGAAGGTTGGTGTGAAAAAAGTCAATGACTCAAGGAAACAATTAGTCCAAGGACCTAACACACCATGCAAACCACAGTTTCCACTAGCCTGAGAACCAGATGGTATCAGAGTACAAGGGCCTGGACAGACTGGTATTAAAATGTAGAGCAAGACTCCAAAAGACTTAGTGCTCAGATAGACAATAGTGGCACTCTCAAGACGATGGTCCTTACACATCCTTCAAAGCTGGCGCTAAACCCACCCAGGATCATCTTTCAGCTAAGCAACTATAGGGTCAACAATGACATCTGTGAGTGATGTGTTCCTCAGAACACTCAACTATGCAAGACCAGGAGGGCAGCATTTCCCAAGAGCAAAGTTCAGAGGGCAGGACAGGGAAACGGCACCCAGGGAGGAAGTGGGAAGAAGGCTGTTTCACTGGAGGAATTACAACTAATGTCACCAAACAAAATGTGTATAAATTGTTAAATGTGAAACTAAAGTGCTCTGTAACTTTAACCCAAATAAAAATTAAATGCTGGAAACAAACAAAAAACAATGGACAGAACTCATCCTCATAGGACTTTTGTTTCAGTAAAGATTGTAACATTAGTTCTGAGTGAGAAGTCCTGATGTGGCACTATGGGGTTAATGCGCTGAACTGCAAAGTTGGTTTGAACCACAAGGTCAGAGGTTCAAGCTCACCGGCTGCTACTCAGAAACCTTATACAGGGTTGCTATGAGTCAGAACCAACTGAATGATACTTAGTAACAGCAACAACAAAAGATCTTATCATTTAGTTCTGAATGAAAAGCACAAGAAAATGTTACCTTATCTAGCAGCAGCTGGAACTGGGCATCTCGGATTCTTCCTTGATTAGAGAAGAAAAACTTGGAAAAAGGAATCTGAAAAAAAAGAAACCATTTACTTCACAGCTGACATGAAACAACTAAAGCATTTGTATGGATATGGAATGATAAAAAGTAATTTAAATTTCAATCTTAAATCATTTAATAAATGCATATATAACAAGTGGCTAGAAATTTAAATCAAATACACAAAGGTATAAAAATAAGTGCTTGAAGAAAACATAGGAAAGCCTTTGTAGCCAAAAGGAAAAAAAATTATACTATAGTATATCTTTTACTATATACTATAATCCTTCCTATGGCAAAAGAAAAAGAATAAACAAGGGGAAAATATAACATTTTTGAACAAAATAAGTACAAAAAGATTAAACCACACAATAGGGCAAAGGACAGAAAAGGAACTGGAATAGATAATAAGCATTGAAAAATGCTCGTCATACATAATTAAGGAAAGGCCAATTAAAATCATGAAATACCATTTTTCACATAACATTTTTGCCTAATGCAGGTAAAATTAAGGTCCCAAACAAGCTGACCTTAACATTGAGAGAATGTCCTCTGCTGCATGAGCAAAATGGAGCCCTGTCCCCAGGTAAATGTTGATCTTTTAATCTTGAATGGTGAACATAACTCATTAGTGTTGTTGTCTACCCATCCACCAGTTGGTTGAAAATTATAGTACGAGGTAAGTTCCATTTCAGACCTAATGGGTGGCTGAGGGCCAGTCTTGGGTTCATGCAGTCAGTCTCTTTCTGGCCAGTAAACCCAACCTTTTTTTTATAATTCTGAGTTTTGTTCCACATTGTCTCCCACTCTATCTGAGGTCTTCAAATGTGATCCCTTTCAGAGCAGTTGGTAGTAGTCGCCAGGTAGCATCTAGTTCTTCTGATCTCAGAGTTACGAAGACTGATGTTCACATATTCCATCAGTCCACTGGACTAATTGATACCAAGCACCTTCAGTTTTCATCACTCTTCTTTCTTCTGCACAAGAAGAAACCAATAGTTGTATCTTAGATGGCCACTCATGAGCTTTTAAGATCCCAGTTGTTATTCATCAAAGTAGGACTTAGGACATTGTCTCTGTGGACTGTTATGCCAATTGACCCTGGTGTTCTCCAACACTATGGTCCTGAGACCCCAGGCCCAGCAACTCATTCCCTCAAGTTGTTTGGTAACATCCAAGAAGTTTTCATCATTTTGTGAGCTGCTATTACAGAAAGGAAATGTCATTTATAGGAATTTCTTCTCTAGGTCCTCTTCCTTTTATTCTACCAGCTTCCAAAAATTAATAAGAAAAAGAAAACTACAATGTTACCATGATCTCAAAAGACCTTGTTTTCATACACAATAAAGATGTCTGCTATTACCTTGACTTCCTGCCAATAGGGCCCTCCACGAGTGAACATGAAGTAGCTGTACATCTGATTCTTCTTCTGGATTATATCTGTGTCCTCCCGAATATTGACCATCCAAGGACGACCATCCCCACGGACACGAAGATACAAAGTGTTGAACTGCGACCAGTCGTAAGACTTCTTCCTCTCAAATGGGCCCTGTGGTATGGAAAGGAAAGTTAATTTGATGTTATTCTCCATTATTAGAAAAATGTGAGTATTAAGTAAGTCAACATTATCAAATGGATCCATTAACCATTTTTCTACTTTTTGAGGAGGCTTCCTACCACCATAAGAAGACAGATAATTCTGGGGGTTCTTATTGTAACACAAATTAATGACATAGTTGAACAAGAGGGCTTCAAAAAGTTCATGAAAAGATGGAATTGAAAGATAATGGAATTTTTCCAAGAATTTTTTTGAGCCCCTTCATTTCTAAGGTAATGTTACAGCTATGAATGACCTAGGACAGTGTTTACAAGGAACAGGCACCCACTTGAATTCACTAAAGAGAAATGTACTTTCCTCTGCTAGTCCTGTGAATGACTTCTGACTAGCCCATTTTATGACAACCTCCTCATAAGTCAGGAAACTATAAAAGAGCTCAAGCTTCAAAATTGGCATTTAATAACAATAGTTATCATTCATTGAATACTTACGTAGGCATTTTGCGAAATCTCATTTAATCCTCACAACAGCCCTATGAAATAACCCAAACCAAACCTATAGTCATCAAGTCGATTTTAACTCACAGTGACCCTACGGAGGGATTCTAAGAATGCAATCTTTACAGAAGCACACAGTCTCATCTTTCTCCTGAAGCCACTTTACAGATGAAGAACCAGCATTCAGCTTTTAAGTGGTAGATCCAGAGCTGTTTAACTCCAAAATCTGTGTTAATTATATTATCTCTCTTCAAAGGTGAGATTTAGTATTAATTTCTGAAGGAATTTATTTATAGTATTTTCAGAGGTAATCTGATTTCAAGAATATCAGTGCTCAAATGTGAATTAATGGCTCCATACAATGAACACTGGACTGCAAACCACAAGGTCCTTGGTTCAAACCCCCCAGCCGCGTCATAAGAGAAAGATGCTTTCTGCTCCCCTGAAGATTTATAGCCTTGGAAACCTTATACAGGGTTGCTATGAGTCAGAATTGACTCAATGGCACTTAACAACAATAACAACTTGGGATAAATTACTAATTCTCCCATAGGCTTAGTTTCATCATCTGCAAAACTACAAATATGGATCTCTTCCAGTCAGTTGGCCAGGTAGTTGTCCTGCAAAACTGGGTTATCATATCTCACAAGATTGTTGTGAGGAGAAAGCAGGGTAATGTATTTTGTAGCTAGTACAAGGATCAATGGAGTCCTGGTATGGTGTTGTGGGCTAATGTGTCAGACTGCAAAGTTGTTTGAACTGCAAGGTTGGTAGTTCAAGCTCACCAGCTGCTCCTTGGAAACCCTATACAGGGTCGCTATGGGTGGGAATTGACAGCACTTAACAACAACAACAAACAGGATTAATAGGAGTGGATTTAGTCAACATTATCTGATATTTTCATTATTACAAAGGGTTATCTACCATTCTGTAAATTTTCAGGGCCTGAATCATCTTGTATGAATTGTTTGCTGCCTCTGAAAGAGCACATATTTAGCTTTTTCATTATGTGGTGAGAGGGTACCTAATCTTACACTTGATTTGTCTTTCTCCTTAAACACAACATGCAAGCAAACATGCATGGGTTGTGGCCAGGACCAGACACAGGAGCTGATTTGAACCAGCCCTTAAACAATTGGTCAGAAAATTCTCAAATTTATAGACTGATTGGGGAAAAAGGCAACTGACCTAAGTAACTTTGGAAAATGTTGTTTTGACTAGAAACAGTAAGGCTAAAAACAAAAGAAACTATACATAAGCACTAAACTCTATTTTACAAAATTGTTTCTCTTAGCATTACAGTTTTAAAATGCTAAAACTGCTGTTGTTAGGTACCATTAAGTCAGTTGCAACTCTTAGCGACCCTTTATGTACAAAAGAGCAAAACACCGCCCAGTCCTGCACCAACCTCACAATCATTGCTATCTTTGAGCCCAATGCTGCTGCCACTGTGCTAATCCATCTCGTTGGCAGTCTTCCTCTTTTTCTCCAACCCTCCACTGCACCAAACATGATATTCTTTTTCAGGGAACGATACCTTCTAATAATAAGTACAAAGTATAAGCACCTAACAACAATAGAATGGAAGAAAATGTGGAACTAAGATGTTAACAATAAGGGGACACTGAATGAAGGGTACAGGGAAACTCTCAGTACTACATCTGCAACTTTTCTGTAAATGGAAACTATTTTAAAATAAAAACTTTACTTTGAAAAACAGCTGAAGTCTGACCTCTATCCACTCTAAGAAAACCCTGGCCGCTACAGGGGCTGTGGTCTATGCTTAAGGAGATGAAAATCTCCCCAGCTCATCTTTCACGTGTATAATTCTCAGTGGTCTTCAACCATGAAAATGTTCTGGCCTGGCCTGGCCTGGCCTGGCCCAAAGAGATGCCCAGAAACACATTACCCCTCTTGAGAAACCACTTCCCCCTTGTGATTTTACTCCCCCAATCTGCTTGTTCCCAAAGTTATCTATCCCAATACACAGTTGAGATACCCACATTTACAAGAATAAAAGTTGTTTGCGATAATTCACACTACAATGCAGTCTACCCAGTTCACTAGAAAAACGTGGCTGCTGGGTCTCACCTACCCTTGGAATCCTAGATATCATTGCACAGTATCCACTGTGGCCACTCTCCCCATCATGAGGGGCCTCCGAGCTCAGATTACCATACAGCAGTGCACTTTGGTTATTCTTGCCCATTTTCAGGAATACTTCACTCCTGCCTCCAATGGTCTTATCAGAAGTCACTATCCACTTATCCAAATCTTCTTTTCCACGAAACTGCCAGACAACCTTAGCTTGTTCCAGCAAGACTTCATGCAGAGGACGGCCTTCAGGTCCTATCCAACGATTCACAAATTCATCCTTCAAACGCAGAAAATGATCCTTTATTTCATTTCTAATTGCTTTATCAAAACTAACTTCAGGCTTATCTTCAGAAGTTATGTCCAAAGCGACTTCTGTCTGGTGATGTGCTTGTAAATCCCTTTTAGACTTCCCCTGAGGATAATCCACTTTGCCAGGAGCAGTCACAGGTTTCTGAAGACTACTGGAACAGTAGTCTGCAAAGTGAGGACCCAAAAATAGGCATGAGGCAGCACTTGGCATCGGGCATTTTCTGAGAATATAAATGCCATTTAGCAATTTGTGAACCAAAGCCATGATAAGAAAAAGTCAAAATATACAATTTTCCCTGGTCCCCAAGGGAAAGAGGTGTCAGCAGACAGCCCAATGCCACCTACAATAGAAGAGACATTGAAAGAGTTACCAGAGTAGGGATGACTGCATCACAAATTCAAGTTCAACCCAGGTAATATACTGTGAAATTCATGAATTTATTTCCCAAGTCTATAAATATTTACCCAGCACCTACTGTGAGGAGTCCTGGTGTGGCATTGCGGGATAAGCATTGGACTGCTAATCACAAAGTTGGCGGTTCAAATTCACACTCCTAGGAAACCCTATACAGGATCACTATGAGTCAGAACCAACTTGGCGGCACTTAACAACAACTATCACCACCTACTTCTTCTGATTAAATGGAATGATAACTAAAAGGAGTTCTCTTTTTCAACAGATCTGATAAGGGCCCCAAGATCCTGCATGTTGACAAACAGGGCCAACACTTGGAATAACAAGGTTTTGAGAATTAGTCACTATATGTGTTCTTCAAAGACAGACCCTAAACAATAGTAGTAATAACACCATGACCTCAAATTTAAATACCATTCTTAATATTTTCAAATCACCTGGCTATATCTTAAGGACCCACTAGTGGTATAGTAGGTTAAGCATTAGGCTGCTAACTACAAAGTGGGCCAGCTGCTCTGCAAGAGAAAGGTGAGGCTTTCTGCTCCTATAAAGATTTCTAATCTCAGAAACCCTATGAAGCAATTCTACTCTGTTCTACAGGGTTTGTATGAGTCCAAAGTAATTTAATGGCAGTGGGTTTTGACATGCATACTCTCACTTAATCCACATAAAACTCCTGAGACAAGTCTCTGCAAAACAGAAACTAAAAATAAATAACTTGCCTCGGGTCACAATGCAAATCAGTATCAAGGTTGGAATTAGAACCCTAACCTTAAATCCTTCCATTGGATGTTGCTGTCTCTCAATCTCTAAAACATTAGCAATGTAACTTCTATGTTGCTACGTGCCCTCAGTCATGGCAGTCCTATGCACAAAGGAAATCCTGTCTACCAGCACCATCCTCATGATCAGTTGCAGATCTGACCATTGTAATCCATAGTTTTCATTTGATTTTTCAGAAGTCTATCACCAGGCTTTTCTTCCTACTTTGCCTTAGACTGGAAGCACTACTAAAACTTACTCAGCATCATGGCAACACACTAGCCGCCACTGATGAATGGCTGTTGCTGTTAAGTGCCGCCAAGTCGGTTCCGACCCATAGCGACCCTGTATAGGGTTTTCAAGGAGTGACTGATGAGCTTGAACCACCAACCTTGCAGTTCAAATGGCTTTGCAGTCTGGTGCATTAACCCACATGCCACACTGACGGATCGTGGCTGTACATAAAGTAAGCTGACTGGGAACCTAATTTAGGGCTCCAGCATGGAAGATGAGAATTTCACCTCTCATCCACCAATGCCTCATAAAGTCTACATTGTCTACATTGTTGCTGTTGTTAAATGCCTCCAATCAGTTCCCAAGCAAAGAGATTCTGTAGAGGATTTCCAATGCTTTTTCAATCTTTGCAAGAGCAGAAAAGCCTCATCTTTCTCCCAAAGAGAAATTGGTGGGCTCTAACTTACAGTTATAATTCAATTATAGTGAACTATAGTCCAATCTTATAGTTCACAGTCCAATGTTTATCCTATGGAGCCACCACATTTCCCATAACTTCTATGTTGTTACTGTTGTTAAGTGCTGTCTAGTCGGTTCCAACTCATAGCAACCCCATATAGGGTTTCAGAGGAGTGTCTGGTAAGTTTGAACTGTCCACCTTGTAGTTCAAACTAACCTTACCATCCAGAGTTTTATCGCACAGCACCACATGAGGACTTTCATAGTTCTAATAAAATAATAAAACAATTTTGCCTCTAACAGAAACATTACAGTAAATACTGGTAGAAAGTGCTGCCCAAACCAAGAAGACTAAACAGTCCTCTCTCCAATCTTTTCCAGCTACTCCTAGAAGGAAATAAAATATGCAGTGCCAGTTTCTTTTTCTTTCTCTTGCCCTTTCAGCCCTAGGGACCAAGGTGGGGGCGGAGGGCATGAGGGGGAAGTCAGTGTAAACTTACCAATTAGAACATGGTGCTATAAATGAGATACTAAATGGATTACTAAAAACATTCAAAAAATAAAAGCCTCAAAATACCAATAAAGCAACAATCAAGCTCACTTGCCTTAGCTGCCTAAGTTATTGTTAATGTTATGTGCCGTTGAGTCAGTTCCAACTCACTGGGTTTCCAAGAAGTGGCTGGTAAGTTTGAACTGCCATCCTTGAGGTTAGCAATCCTAAGAGTCCACACCAAAATGGCTCCCAGATCACTTAACTGTAACACAGGTCTGGTCCTCTTTCTAAAATGCCCTTCTTCTCTCACTCCTAACATCAGGTAGACAACAACCCTCTCTCTCTTAGATCACTGCCCCAGGTGTGCAACTCCCACCCCATCCTATCCACCACTCAGGATCTGTTGTTTGTTCTTGGATGCAGTCAACTCATTTCTAACACAGATTCTGTTTGACAGTTTAGAACTGTCCCATGGAGTTTTCTAGGCTGTAATATTTATAGGAGCACATCACCTGAGTGGTTAGTGGATTTAAACCACAGACGTTTTGGTTACCAGCTGTGCAGTTAAACATGGTGACACAAAAAGAAAAGAGTCAAATCCATTGACTACCAGCCATTTCTATTCATAGTCATCCTATAGAATAGAAGAAAACTTCCCCATATAGTTTCCAAGGTTAAAACATTTCAGAAACAAGCTGCCACACCGTTCTTCCACAGAGCAGCTGGTGGACTTGAACCATCTTTTGGTTAACAGCAGAGCATTAACCAGGTAGGTCTCCTTTACTCTGCATCTAGAAAAACCTAAAACACAAGACTGATCATTTATCTTTTCTGATTAAAATTCTTCACTGGCTCCTCATGGTCTTTGAAATAAAACCCAAACTCCCACACAGGATCTACAAGGCTCCTTTAGAAATGAGTAATATTTAAATTTCTATTACAGATTGCGCTGAAAATATTTCTAACTCTACATCTATAGGAATTTTGGAAACAAGTGCTGTCTCCAATATGGAATATTGTATGAGGGGGCTTCAAAACTTCCTGGACAAATTCCATTATTTTTAATTCCATTTCTACAAACTTTTTGAATGCCCCTCATAATGACCACAAAAAAAGATTCATGTGAACCCTACACTTAGGCTACAATACTCAGTGGCAAAGTAGCAGGAATAATTCCATATACATTGACATGGGAGTAGGGTGCTTCTGTAGGATAAGTACTGGCTTGCAAACCACAAGGTAGGCAGTTCTGTTCTTGAAGGAAAATTAGACTTTCTGCTCCCAGCAAAGATATAGACTTGGAAGTACTATACAGAGTCCCTCTGAGTCTGGACTGACTTGATGGCACTTAACAACAATACAATGACATTACAAGCATAAAAATGCACAGATAAAGACTTGGGGTTGGGGAATGTAAGAAAGACTTAAAGTCCTATGCAAAATGATGGGATTATGAGCAATATTCCAACCAAAAAAATAAAACCCACTGTCTGATCCCTATGAGTAGAACTCCTCCTTAGGGTTCCTGAGACGGTAAATCTACATGGGAGCATACAGCCTCATCTTTCTCCCGCAGAACAGCTGGTAGGTTTGAATCGCCATGCTTGTGTTAGCAACGCAACACCTAACTCACAGCTCCACCAGGACTGCTTATGAATAATATTATTCGCCTTATTTTCCAAACCCTTAGTAATGGTAGTGGAGGTGGTGCGCTGTGGAGTCATTTCGAACTCATACCGACCCCGCATAGGGTTCCCGAGGCTGTAAATCTTTACGGATCAGAAAACCTCATTTTTCTCCGCAGAACAGCTAGTCGTTTCGCAGCGCTGGATGTGAGGTTAGTAGCCCGATTCGTACCTACTACCGTACCAGAGCTCCTTAAACCCTCAGTAATGTTAATGCTCTAAAAACATAACCTTAATTATAAAAGTTTATTTCATATTTTTATCAATAAACACAGTCATACCGACGACACTGGACCAAGGTTAACAGTGAGTTTTTCCGGCAACATAATCCACGCAGCTAGAAGTCAAGGGTATTAGAAAGATTCTATCTAGGGTTTATTCAAAATCTGTTCTAATTGTAGTTTCACTGACTCATCACGACAACTCTGAGAGCTATTATTATTAATCCGACTGTAAAGAAGAGGAAACGAAGGTTCCAAAATTAAATATCCCGAGGCCATATAGCTAATAAGTAGCAAAACTCTAAAGCCCCGGCGATTAGTTCCCAATGCTAGCTGCGGAAGAGGCCCAGAGTCCTCAGTCCGGCTTCCGGAGACTAAACGTTATTCGCGACGGGGTGGCCCCCTCAACCCTCACCTGCCAGGGTAGTGCCGTGGTCCCACGTCCCGAACGTACCAGCCAAAAGCAGGTGCTACTTCGCCTCCTAGGACAGCAGCTAAAAGGGTATTCCACCCGGGTCCCTCGCTTTACCGGATCAGGTTCTCCACATTTCCCGTCCGGGTCCATCTACTTTTAACGTCCGGCAACAACCCAGGAGAAAGGACACTATAGTTCCGGTCGCGTGCACAGATGCTGGCAGAGGAACACATGACCGGGAACCGCAAGTTGAGGCTTTTGACCCATCAGTTCTCCAAAACACCAGGCCTGGTACCACCCCTCCCTATCTTTACTGTCCCATGTGAGGAAGTGGGAGAGAAGGAGCTCTCGTATCACCTCTTCTTTCTGCATCCCGCTTTCTGGCAGTAACTCCATCCTTACACCATTCAAATCCCCTGAACTAAACCGATCGCTGTCAGGTAGTCGCCGATTTACAGAGTTGTTGTTAGGTGCCATCAAGTCGGTACCGACTCATAGCAACCCTATGTACAACACAACGAAACAGTGCCCGATCTCGGGCTAATCTCACAATTGTTGCAACGCTTGAGCCTATTGATGCT